ATTAATTCACTGGCCCCTCAGTGGCACATCATTTATGCTAATCCCTTTTTGTGCTGTAAGAGTCATGAGAGCCAATAATGAAACTGATTAAATGTCACAAAGTTTCTTTTGGCTCTGCATGAGATTGAGCAATTTCATTTCCTTTTTATCTCTTATGTGATTTAGATAGAACTGGTACCAGATCAGTAACTTCCACCAACTAGTTGGCAGTTTGAATGACAGTGGCATATCTTGCTCTTTGTCTATGCCGTCTCCTCACACTTACTATTTGTAACACAGGGTGTAATGGTGATACAGACCCCTGGATATTTAAGATCTCCATCACGCATTCCCATGAAGCTGAGTGTGATTTTATACCTGGGTGATTCTGGTCCTCCAGAAATAGTCCTGGGCTCTTAAAACACCTAAAAGAAACTTGATTTCTTATTTTTTTTCTCCCTCTCATCATATTTAGGAGAAAATAGTTGTCTGGTATGAGTATTCTTGATTCCTAAGATTTCTTAGTGGCTCTTAAATTTCTCTTCTTAATTACAGACCAAAGATGAACTCTGATATGCAAAATATCTTCTATTCAAATGATGGTGCTCTGAAGACTCATCTTAACTGTAGAGAAGATCATTTTTAAGTATTAGTTCCAAAAACAATGTAAAATCTAGTGGTGACTATTTGCATTCTCAGAGTGTTTCTTCTTATGCAGTATTCCCATGACTGTCTTTTACAGAACATTTTTAAATTTTTATAATAAAACCACCTTTAAGGGCCTATTCTGTACCAATTATTAGCTATGAATAGAAAAAGGAAAGTCTGGGTCCTTGATTCTGGCCTACTGACTGCTTGCTCTGAATCAAATAGACCTCCAAAAACAAAACAAAACCCAGCCAGTTATGGTGGTTCATGTCTGTATTTCCAGCACTCCAGAGGCTGAGACAAGAGGATTGCCATGAGTTCAAGGCCAGTTTGAGCTACATAGTGGTTTCAAGCCAGCCTGATATATATAAGGCTGGCTTGGAAGACAGTAAGATGTTATACCCAAATTGCCGTGGGGACCCCCAAAAGACCACCATGGAGACCAAATCCTGTATGTAAAAGCAAAGAGCCTTTATTTCAAGCTCTGGAGCTTGGTCCCTCTGTCTGACACAGCGGTGAGAGCAGAGATCCCTGAGCTCAGGTTGGGCAGAGTTTTTATCATAGCAGAGGATGGGATGAGGGGATTTCCAGGGTCCAGGACCCTGATTGGCTGAAAATTGTCTAGGGGTATCAATAAAACAAAAATAGGTATGGGCTGACGCAAGGGCATCTGACAACCCTATCTCTAATGGTTAGAATGTTTGGGATGTCAGGTACTTCCTCATCCCTGGGTGGTATCAGCTTAAGGCTTTGATGGATCTGGGTGTTGCCTGTCAGTAAGCCTGTCACAGAAGCTGTGTCTAGGCCCCTAAGCCTGTCATGGCTGTTGTGTGGTCAAGCTGTTTTGGGGCCCTTCACAAAAACTCTGTCTTAAAATACAAATAACTGTCTCTTTTAAGCTGTTTTTAATCTTGGAATGGCTATTCATTCAATCCCAACCAAACCTCACTCTAATAAAACATGCAAGAGCTGCCTTTATCTGGCCTCTGCCTCTGTTGTAATCAAATCTGTTACTGCTTACTAACAGCCCTATCACCCAATTGTCTACCCAATGTCACCCAATTGTCTACCCAATGCATGTTTCCTTCCTGCCCTGGTATTTGCTTTTCTCTTGGTATGGAAGCCAGGATCCATTCTTCTTTGTCCAGCTCATTTCAGGAATGTAGCACCTCTGAGTCTTTGTTATATACTCACCATACTTGGAAGTAGTTGCCTGTAGACTCTCCACCCCAGACTTTCAGCATCTTCAGTACAGAGACCATTCTTTTTAGTGTCTAACAGGCTTGCCTGAACCTGGAAGGGGCAACAGATTTTAAATGGGTAAATGAGTAATTACTTTAAAAATGCAAAGCAAGTACTAGCTGGGGGCCAGGCATGCTGGTAATATGCCTTTAGGCCTGCCACTCATGTTCTCCTCCAGTTAGTCAAGTTCCACAGTCAGTCTCCTTGAAAAATGCCCTGGAAGAATATCCAGAATGTTTGACCTTATGTTAGGGAATAGCCCAACCAAGTTCACCATCACTAATTGGAATTCATACAATGAATATTATTGAGCACCTAATATGCATTCAGATACTGTATTAAGTTCCAAAGATAGATCAGGGAATAGTTATTGTCTCTTCTTGAAAACGAATGGAAACTTACAATCAATAAATAAGTATGGGTTGTGGCTGATAATGGCATCACAGGGGTAAGTAGTGGTGCCTACTTAACCCTAATCTAAATATGCTAATTGGACATTGACTGTTGCTATAGCTTATGATAAGCCACTGTTAAAATATTAAAAATTTACTAATTTATTAGAGCTTATCAATCAGAAGAGCTTTAAATAGCAGTTGTTTTTTCAGATAGCTATTGGAACTGTTTGTATTCTATTTTTCTGGTTTTGTTACATTCATTTATAGTGGATTACAGAAATAGCATTTTAATTTTGAAACAGTGTAAAAAAAGCTATGCTCATTGTATTATTTGGTCATGCTGAATTAATTGGTATGGTAATTGATTTAGACATTGTTTTTTTTTCTCATTTCTTTTACTTCTTGAGACTTTTATATCATGTGGTTATTTATGTTTTAATTTCTTTTTTCTTTTTCTTTTCTCTTTTTTTAAGACATGGGCTTACTAGATAATTATGGTTGGCTTAGAACTCTATGTATAGCAAAATGGCTTCAAACTAATAGAGTTCCTTTTACCTGCCTCTGCCTCCTGACTGCTGGGATTAAAGGAGTGGGCCACCATGCCTGGTCTTGACTTAGGTCATTTTAACCTCTCACAGAGCAAATCTGGCCCACCACCCATGTTTGTATAGCTTCTAAGCTAAGAATAATGTTAATGTCTTAAGTGGTTGAAATCATCAAAACAAATTATATTCTAGTACATGCAGAATTCAAATTTTGGTTCATAAATAAAGGTTTGATATTAGTTTCCTATTACTTCTGTGACAACAACTTGTGTTGTTACAATTCTGGAAGTCACAGTCTGAGATCCGGAGTTGGGCACTTGCCTTTTTTTCTTCTAATGCTGCATTCCTAACATTTCTTGCCTTGGGAACCTGTCTCCATCTTCCTAGCCTACAGCCTAATGTCTTAAAGTCTTGCCCAGCTTCTTTGACTACAGCAATCTGAATACTGTAGCAGTATGATTCACAGGCTGGTAAATGGATACATAAAACTGTTTAATAGAATTCAGCAATAGAAATGAGTTGGTGAGAAGAAGCAGAGTACACTTGCACATTCTAAGTTTAAGATGACAGATCAAAGCTATCAGCCCATGACTCCATTTATGTGAACTATCCAGAAAAGGTAAATCTGTAGACACAAATCATGTTGGGGGTTGTCTGGTGTTAAAGGTAGGAAAGAAGAGCAGCAAGTTTCTTCTAGAAATGATATGTGCTTAGAATTTGATGATGGCTGCAAATAATTGTATAGTTACTGGAAATCATCAAATTGTATACTTTAATTGAAACTTAGGACATGCAAATAGAGTAAATAAAGCATAACTAGAATAGCAGACAGGAACTAGCAATGTAGCATAGTGGTAGAATGTCTGCACGGACAAAGCCTGGGGTTCCAACCCCAACAATCCAAAGAAGTGAGGAGAGAGACTGGGGTAAGAAGAGGGGCAGGGAAGGAAGGAAGGAAGATTAGCAGACAATAAGGAAGTATTAATTAAAAGTACTAAGACTGTAACATGAGAAAGCACTTGTGATAAATGGCTTTCAGCTAATTGCATTTTGGTATGTACTGTGCCAGAAAAGAGGGCAGTGAGGAACCTGCCTGACTCCATTTAAAGGCAGGAGCCATTATGCTGTATTTTTAAAAATAAGTTTCTACTTACTGTGAGAGTTGAGTAGCTCTGTTTTCTGGAACCTTCCCCAACCCATGACCTTTATTTGTGTTTGGGAGTATCTTGACTCTCCCTGACCCCTCCTAGTCACATGGTGGGTGATCACATGATTTTTTTAAAAGTTTTTTTTTTCCTTATTGCCCCATTGTCTCCCTTCTTTAAGACTGTTTGTGATTTTACTCCTTAAAAAGGGTCCAAGAGATGGACTCTGGGCGTAACCTGACTTCGGAGGCAGTCACTGGCCAGCTCTTGGGTGCACCCGGGTAAAAATCAAGCTTGCTTCAAATTTGTCTCAAACTGTGGTAGTGGTCTTATTCTCAAAGTTGGGATTAACACAGGTACCAGAGGGGGATTCATTCATTTAGGAAACATTTGCTAGACTTTATCCTACACCAGGAGATTCGGTCAAATACACATACACATTCTCTGTCTGTCTGTCTGTCTCGCCCCACAACCTTTTCTTCATTAAGGGAAGTTTAAACTTTGAAAAGCCTCCCTGCAAACACACACACACAAAGAAAAAACAAAAAACAAACAAACAAACAAACAAACAAAAAAAAAAAACAGGAAAAGACATATGAGTGAAGTCCTAAGTAAAAGGTGTAATCTGATGAGCTGAACAGTAAAAGCTCTGCAGTGGGGCCGGCTTGACAGGTTTATGGTGAGATGTCAAAGCCCTGAAGCCTGGGACCTTTTGACCCACGTAAAGAACCGGATTCGGTTCGGCTCTGATGGACTTTGGGAGGGACTGGGTAGATGGGTCCTTTAACCTCAGGGCCATCCAGCTGCTGTGATGACACACTAAGTGCTGGGCACAAAGGTGGTAGCAACACACCCTTCCGGAGACCAGTACATAAGGCAGTGTTAATGGTGGAGCCTTAGCCTAGCCTGGCACAGGTGAGAAGCATCCAACCTTTTGACACTGAGTTCTGACTTTACTCTATACAAAGCTCACACCGAACCACGCAGTAAAGTTGCCAAAAGGAAATTAAGTCGCAAAAAATTTAATTAATTAATTATTTAGAAAATATGTTTAAGTACACAATTTTGTGTTGGATCACATGCATAGCTGTCTTGTGTGCATGCGGCAGCGGAGTGGGCGCGCCTGAAAACCAAAAGGATAAGGAATCCATGGCGGGTTGAGAGGAAGGCGCTAGTCAGAGTTGACTCCATGTCTTCTGAAGGGACGATCGGACCGGAAGAGGCCAAGGTGGTGACCGGAGCGGCTTTCCCGCGCTGCTCGGCTGCACCAGCGCACTGACTCCCGGTTTCAGGATCACCGCCCTCGAGAGGCGGGGCCGAGCTCAGGCCAGCAGAAAACTCTCCTTCCCGGCGTGCCTAGCGGCGCGCCCCACGAGCCGGGGGGGGTGAGGGCGGAGCCCGTGCGCGTGCGCAGTAGCGCACCGCGCTGACGGGGTTGGCGAGGCGGTCCCTTCGAGCGTGTTAGTTCGCTCCCTGAAGAGAGTGAAGACGGTTGCGCTCCCGCGGTCTCGTGCGTTCGCTGGTAAGCGCGGCGGCCGCGGCGGGAAGCGCGGGCAGCGGGGCCGCGCCGGGCGGGCGGCTCCTCGGGGGCTGTCGGTCGCCGCCCGAGGCGTCTGAGGAAGCTTGCCGCCGTCGGGCAGCAGCCGGTGGTCTGTTTTGCCCGGGAGGGCGGACACGGGCTGGTTCGGCGGGCAGGCGGGGCCGGGCCGGGCCGCGGACACTCGTCGCGGGCTGTCGCGGGTGACGGGAGAGAAGCCGTCCTCCAGACGTGAGGCTCTCCCCCGGTGGCGGCTGCCCGGCCCGGGGCTCACGCGCTCGTTGAGCGAATAAACGACGATTCCCGTTGACCCCTGACCTCGGGTTTGGATTTTCTGCTCGTTTAGTGGGTAAGACCAGAACTCAGTTTTGTTCGCCCGGTGACAGCCAACGTGGTGCTGCAGACGTAACAGACAATACGTAATTTTTTTTAAAAACTGGAAGTCAGGTGGCCCTGGCGTTTTGACGGCTTTCTGGAAGGTATGACCATAAAATACTACCTTCTGAAGATAAGTAGCCCCTCCCTCCTCCCAAACTCAACTCTTGATTATCCACACCATTTGGAACCGGTACCGAATCAACTGCATTTGTTTTGTGTGTCAGCATTCAGTTGTCACCTTGCTTCTACCGGGTTGGTGCTGTTTTCCCCATCTGCTGTGTTAGACATTGAGGAGCCAGGCTTCAGTACTCCCTTATCTTTCAAAAAAAGCTAGAGATAAAATCGACACTGTCACTTGCTTTGGGCTTTTACCCTATGGGACATTTTTAGGGTTACTCAAACAGTCTAGAACAAGTGTGTGCAACAGTTGTGAAGTTCATCATGAAGTTGGGAGTACAGAGTTTTCCTTAAAAACAAAACCCCAGGTTAATCTGGAAGAGCTTTCTAGGTTGATGGTAATTTGAAAACATGCGTGTAATTTTACTACTTTCTGAAATCTCATTAAAATTACAGGGAAGGATGTTTGGGGGTTTTGTTTGTTTTTGAGGGTTTTGTTGGTGGTGGTGGGTGGTGGTGATTTGGTTTGGTTTTTTGAGACAGAGTTTCTCTGTGTAGCTTTGGAGCCTGTCCTGGCACTCACTCTATAGACCAGACTGGCCTCGAACACGGAGAGATCCACCTGCCTCTTCCTCCCAAGTGCTGAGATTAAAGGCATGTACCACCACTGCCCGGCTGTTTTGGGTTTTTTGTTTTGTGTTTGTTTGTTTGTTTTGTTTTTTGTTTTGTTTTTTGAGACAGGGTCTTGCTCAGACTGGTCTCAAACTTGCAGTGATTCTCCTATCTTTGTCTTTCGAGTCCTGAGATTATAGGCAAGCCCCACCCAACCTGCCCCCCCCCCCTTTTGGACATAAAGTCACTGGAATAAAGACCTTGGGAAATATTAACAGTTGAATAATAAATTCTAAAAGCAGTGGCTAAAACAGCAGTTAGGAACACAATAAAACTAGTCTGAATAAATCATAGCCTCCAAAACACACAGAAACTGGCAGCACTAGTTATAGTTGGAAGTGCATCGATGTGAGTACAGGTGGAAGACTTAAAATGTTAGGTTAAATCTTTCTAAGGAGCAGCAGGATATTTAGATTCCTTTTCCGCTTTCACACTCTTGAGTGATTACATTCCCCATAATTAGACTAGAAGGAGGCTTATTTTGACAATTTTTTTAACTGGAGAACTCAAGACAAGTAATTGTAAGGATATATTTATGAAAATAAGGGCCCCAAAGCCATAATTTCTTTATCCACTTCTCTTTCAACTTCCACAGCTTTAGTAGCCAGATTAATAACTTCCAGGCCCAAGAGAGTGGGGGTGAGATGAACAGAACAATGAGGAAACATGTATATATATACATGTTTAACCGTAAATTAAATGTGAAGAGACCTCACTATTTACATTTTCATTTTCAAAGTTTTGTGTTGGGAGCTTGGAAGATGGTTCAGCTGATAAAGTACCTGTTGTAAAAGCTGAAAATCTTGTTTTTCACATCCCCAGCATCCATTTAAAAGCCAGGCCCAGGGGTTGTGGATTTAGCTCAGTGGTAGAGCACTTGCCTAGCAAGCGCAAGGCCCTGGGTTCGGTCCTCAGTTCCTAGAGAAAAAAAAAAAGCCAGGCCCAAACTGGAGGAACCCAGGTAGGCAGATACTTAAAGCTTATTTCTAGCTAGCCAGCTTATCCAAATTGATGAGCTCCAAATTCAGTGAGAGGCCTTGTCTTAATAGTGGTAGAGGAAGACACCTGATGTTCTCTTCTAGCTTCCACATATAGACACACATATATGCACTTGTACACACATGCATACAACACAAAAAAAATTGATTATGTGCTGCCTATTTTTAAAAGTTTTTTAAATTATAAACAAATTATTTAATGTGACATTTCCTCTTCTGTGAATTTTTCTTACAAATATACCTATACACCTATAAGTATAATATCACCTAGAAACTAGAATCACAAGATGCAAATAACACTGGTTTCCTTGAGAGGAGTTCTGAGTGAAAGGCAAAAGTGGAATGAGACAATATATTCTTCGCATCTTTTGAGCTTTGAGCCATGTTAATATTACCTAGTTAATAAACAAATGCCAATGAAGGCATAAACAAATGCAATGAAGAGTGATAATGGAAATTGTGGTGCCAATGATATGCTGAAAAATGAAAGCTCTCTTAAAATAAAAAGGAATGAATACTGAACAACAATCACAAAAATTACAGTAGCTTATACCCATTCGTGTTTATGGTTCTTCAGGTCAGTTGTGATTTAGACTGGGTTCAGGCTTTAATTTGGCTTCAAATTTGCTCAAACTGTCTTCATTATGGGATTCTAGCTGAAAAATGAAAAACTTCCTGGGATAGTTTTCCTCTATTGTTCAGGTGAAATTTGGTTCAAGGTTTCTAGGAATTTGCCATAGCTCAACTCAGAAGTAGCACTTTGAAATGTTCCAGTAGCCAACCCCAGAGTCAATAGGATCACATGACAAAGACTGTGGTTACATACTTCTGTTACATGGAAAGGGGGAAATGAAATGATGAAAATATTTTAATAGCTGTAGGGAAAGTAAATTAAAAATGATTTATATTATATGGAAAAAGGAATGATGAAAATTATTTAGTAGATATATAAAAATTAAGTTGGGGTGGTTAAGAATGAAGATTCTTATAAATATATTTCAAGAATATTTTTGTAAAGGTACAACATCCCAGTTTGGAATGAACTATTTTAAGGCCTCTGCATCAAAGTGTCCCATTTACCTTATATAATATATGCCAGCTCCTGTTATTAGTTTTGAGTACCCATAAATATCTTGAAAGTAATATAAGAGTAAGTAATAAATATATAGAGAGATACCAGTTTATAGAGAACTAGTTTTAGATTGTGTTTATTTCAGCTTTTGAATGTGCTCATTCATAGTTTTGGGGTCTGGCAACTCACCTTTCACAACAGAATTTTCTTTTCAGGGAGATGCCCTTTGCTTCTTGGATGTAATGCACTTTATGTTTATTATTCATCAGTGAAAATGAGTCATACAGAGGTAAGATATTGTCGTGTGTTCTGTATCTTCATATTATTTTTTGGGGGGAGATGGGGAAATATGTTAACCATCACTTGTATATAGTAGTCTTATTTTCAGTTTGCATGGTGAGAGGCAGTACAGAATTGGAATTGGAGAGTAAATGCCAGAACAAGACTACTTTACTTTGATTCTTAGTTAATAGCTATATAACCTTGAGCAAGTTACTTAATCTGCTGTGCCTTATCTGTAAAGTAGGAATAGTACTTGCCTCATAGAATTATAAAGAATGCTTGCAAGAGTTAATACTTTAGCACTTAAAGTACTAGACAGTAAACAGTTCTTAGAAACTATAAATATAACGACTTGTTTGGAGGCTATGCATTCCGTCATGAGTCTTAGCAAAACAAAGTATTTATTCAGTTGTCTAAATAGTCGAGGAAATAATTTGACCCTTTTGTTCTTTTGAATTTTAGGTTAAATTAAAAATACCTTTTGGAAATAAATTACTGGATGCTGTTTGTTTGGTACCTAACAAGAACATAGCATATGGAATAATTCTTACACATGGAGCATCAGGAGATATGAATCTTCCTCATTTGATGTCACTGGCATCCCATCTTGCATCTCATGGGTTTTTCTGCCTAAGATTTACTTGCAAAGGTCTTAATATTGTACACAGGATTAAGGCATATAAAGCAGTTTTGGTAAGAAAAATATATTTACTTATAAAAAGGCTCTGCTTAAAATTCTTCATAAGTTTAAGGTATTTTGTTACCTGATTGTTAGATAAAAGTGTTTTAATGAGTATCCTTAGAAACTTGGCAGTAATACATAGGGTATTTAGTGGTTGTGTTTCTCTTTTTTTGTCATCAGTTTGTTTTCATGGAGATGAATGTTCATATCATACGTGTTCTTTCATGCTGCTGCCCAAGAAGCTACTTAGAATTTTCTCAGTGGGAAAATGTAACTTTAGAATATAGTTATGCCAATCTAGATTTTTAAACCTACTATATTATTGTGCATATCAAAATATACCACCCTTATATGCTAGTATTTTCATCAAATTTGAAACTACTAGCTTTTAAAAAATAACTGTCCCTTATCAAGTTTACTGTTTACCACCCGAGGTGGAGACATGAACCTGGGAGACGGGGACCTAAAAATGAGGTGGACTAAAGTCTCATGCAATAGCTAACTTTATTAGAATTTGAGGCAATTATACTCTGAGAGTTAAGAATCACATGATTAAGGTGTTCAATTACAAGGACAAGCCACATGTGGCAAAAATATGTTTTCCATAGAGGTATATAAATAACAGCTGAAGAAAACTCCCTCCTAGCCAATACACCTGGGAGAGCATGAAAACCCATTCCAAGAACAATTCTGTGCTTTGAAGAAACTAAGGTCATAGGACTCTAGCCTTGTTTTCTTGGAGTTTTCTCAGAAGCACTCAGAATTCTCACACAACTCCATTCTTGGAGTGTGTTCCGACATCTCCCCCTTTTTTGTTTTTTTTTTTTTTTTTTTTTTTTTTTTTTTTTTTTTTTTTTTTTTTTTTTGGTTTTTTCGAGACAGGGTTTCTCTGTGTAGCTTTGCGCCTTTCCTGGGACTCACTTGGTAGTCCAGGCTGGCCTCGAACTCACAGAGATCCGCCTGCCTCTGCCTCCCGAGTGCTGGGATTAAAGGCGTGCGCCACCACCGCCCGGCTCCTTTTTTGTTTTTTAATAGGATATGCAGAGTGGTTTTAATTTGAGATATTTTAGGTAAATCTAATTGTCATTTGATTCATCAGTGTCCTGTAAACAAGCAAATTACAACATTAGAATAGTGGAAGCATTGGAATTCTCTGCTACCAACGGCAAAGATTCAAACTGTCCAGTACTATTAGTTACATTATTACATTGATAGGAAATTCTAGAGAATAGCTTGAATAGAGACCCATATGATTAATTGTTGACATTAATTATTTACTAATTGAGCCAGAAAAATAAGATAAGCAGTATTTTATGGCCGTTAAGGTGCAAATAAATCCATTCCAAAGGTTTATCATCTTGTACCATAATACCTATAGGAGACAGTTTAGTGAGAAAAATAAGTTTAAAGGCAGTGAAAGAATCCACTTCGTACCTAAATGCTTTTGGTCTGGATTCAAATAGCTGTAGTTCTTTCTTTGCCTCTGGAAGTAATGTATGAGGACTATCCAACACCATCTTAACTTCTAGAGTTTTAAATAGATTGGTTAGTGCATAATTAGGTAGACATTTTGATTTTGCTGAAATTGCACTGGAAATACCAAGCACAGCTCATGAGGCCAAGGAGAAATCGTTAGATGAATTACTTTTTCCAGCCATGCTCTAGCTTGCCTAGGTTGTAAAATTAGCCTTTTCATAGGATCTCCTAAGTCCTCATCAGAAAGTAGAAAGAATTCAAGATTAGATCAATTATCATATTCTTCACCCCATGCTTCAAGGCCATTTTTAGACAATGGAGGGTAAGTATTTAAAGAAAGCTCCAGTTAGGGAGCTGAGGGAACCATTCCTGGCATAGGTGTCACCATTTTTACTTTTGATTTTGCCTGCACAGGGAAAACTTCCATCTTTGCCTCTATCAATTTTAAAGTTTGACCATTCAGTTTATATTCAAGGAATTAGTCATCTCTTTGTCATGATTAATATCCTACTTATCTTCCTTAAATATTTTAGTAACAGTTCGAATCAATGTGCAAGTGACCCAAAATTGAACAAGGAACTCCCCCCACCTTGTTTATATGCCTTTTTAATATTCTTTCACTCTGTCCCGTACTTCTTTATCTAAAGTTCCTTCTAAACACCAGGAATTATAATCATAACCAACTTGCAAACAATCTAGTAGTTGTGATTTTGATACTGTGGTCCTTCTTTCTTTAAGAAATGATGCACAAGCTCAACATACAGCAAAGTTTTTACTGGTTTCTGCACCATTTTGCTCATTCATCTTCTGTGAGGGTCCCCACTCTTTATCTCATAGCTGACTTCAGGTCCCTGTTTGGGTACCACTTGTTTACCACTCTATAGATGGTGGGACCTGGGAGAAAGAGCCAGCAAATTTAGGCAGACCAAAGTCCCATGCAATAACCAACTTTATTTGGGGAGGCTGGGGGTGTTTCGAGACAGTTTCTCTGTGAAGCTTTGCGCCTTTCCTGGAACTCACTTTGTAGACCAGGCTGGCCTCGAACTCACAGAGATCCGCCTGCCTCTGCCTCCCGAGTGCACCACCACCGCCCAGCCAATAACCAACTTTATTTAGAGCTTAGGTAATTTATATTCTGTGGGTTAAGAAAAATCGAATCACATGGCTAAGGTGTTCAATCACAAGGACAAGAAACATGTTGCAAAAACGTGTTTTTCAGTAGAGGCATATGAATAACAGCCGCTGAAGTAAATTCACTCTTACCTGCTACACCTGGAAAGCCCATGAAAACCCATTCCAAGAACAATTCTGTGTTTTGAAGAAGCTGAGGTCACAGGACTCTTGTCTTATTTTCTTGGCATTTTCTCACAAGCACTCAGAATTCTAACACGACTCTGTTCTTGGACTTTGTCTGACAATTTACTGCTTAAATATTTTTATAAAGGCAAGTTGATTTTTCCCTGACAAAAGGATTAATAGCAAACACATGACCAAAGAGGAAAGAACTATATCTCCTATAAGAATCTGTAAATTATGTCTTTGCATAAGTTTTTGTATACATCAGTAATGGTAAGAATATCCAGTGAAGTATAACGTGAGAGGAACTGATAATTTTTTGGTTGATTTACCTAGAATTACCTAAAGACCTCAGGAGAATACAAACTTGCTGGTGTTTTTCTTGGAGGTAAGCTTCAGTATTAACTGCATTATAATATTAAAATTAGTTATTTTGTTTTGATACATAACTTTGATACTTTATTGTAAAGTACTTTATATGTTTAAAGCAAATTTGAAGCATTTATGTGTTAAAATAGAAGGCTTACTACCTTTATTCATAGCATTTTATTACTCTTGCAAATGATGCATTGAGAAATAATTTCTTCACCTTTGTAAGTATTGAAAAAAATAATTGCTTTTTAAAATTTGGAGTAAGCTAGATCAGTTTTTAGCTTTTCATAAAGCTGTAGGTTTCCATTAAGACCATTGGAATTTGTTGCTTGCCATTCTTTTGAGTTAAGTAATTTTCTCCCCTCAATAAATAACAAAGAACAGCAAATCTAATTTTACCAAACTATCGCTACTATTGTATGCATATGTTTATATTTCTAATTGAACTTAATTGGTTTTAGGCCGTTCAATGGGCTCGAGAGCAGCTGCTTCTGTAATGTGTCACAATGAGCCAGATGACACTGATGATTTTGTTCGAGGTCTCATTTGTATTTCTTACCCACTGCACCATCCAAAGCAGCAACAGAAACTCAGAGACGAAGATCTCTTTCGTATAAAGGATCCTGTACTATTTGTGTCCGGCTCAGCAGATGAAATGTGTGAAAAGGTGACTTGGAATTCTATATGTATGAGTGAAATATATTAGGGGGACGATTATTACCTGCCATATTCAGCTTCTGGACATAGTGACCCACACCTTTAATCCCAAACTCAAGAGACAGAGGCAGATGGATTGCTGTTAGTTCAAGACCAGGCTGGTTGTCAGCCAGGGCTACACCCACCCTGTCCAAAAAAAAAAAAAAAAAAAAAATGCTTATTAGTCTATGTTAGTTGTGTCTTTGTTACCCTGTAACTTTGTAGTACATAAAAATAAAAACACTGACAAAATGCATCTCCCCAGAAAGGGATTTGGTAAATAGAGTTCATCTTTATTTGTAGAATTAATATCTGATTGTTATGATTTGGGAGATACTAGGATATATATTTGGTTTACCATTTCAGCTTTGAGATTGTTATTGACTCTCAAGTAAGCATTGGCAGTATTCATATATTACTGAGTATTATGAACTACTGTTTCCCAGAGCACACAATTTCCTTAGGAAAAGATTTTTTTGGGGGGAAAAAATTTGAATAACTCTAATCTGCTTAAGTTTTTTTGTGCTAACAAATGCTTGGGTGTATTCTATTATGTGATTATTTGAGATAAGTGGACTGACACTGCTGTAGATATTTCATTATATACTCCAAGTTGCAGATATTTAATGAATAGTTTTGAGTGAATGCCAGTCCAATATAGATGAGGAAAAGATAATCTTTTAAATAGAGTCTAATATCCTCTTTTGTTTCTTCTTTAGAACTTGTTGGAGAAAGTGGCACAGAAAATGCAAGCTCCCAGTAAAATCCATTGGATTGAAAAGGCAAATCATTCTATGGCAGTGAAAGGACGGTCAACAAATGATGTTTTCAAGGAAATAAATACACAGATCTTGTTTTGGATCCAAGAAATCACTGAAATGGACAAGAAATAATTGTCATTAAAAGCCATGTTATTTTGAATAAAAGTACGGTTAATTTGATAAAGAACAATATACCTCTCAGCATTGTGAGATGTATTTCAGACTAATGTTCTTTAATGTTGCCCTATTTTTGAAACATGGTATTGTGAAAATATCCTTTACAAGATGTCTTTTGAAAGCACTGTTATAGTTATATGAAGATAATGTACAAATATTGAAGTTGTCTATAATTTATTTTCATTAGTATAGGTAAGTTTTGAAAAATTAAACATTTGCATTTTGTTATAATGGTGCTTTGTCTTACTCTGAAATGCGACTAAGAAAATGCTTAGTTTTGAGAATCTCACCTTTTCAAAAGTGTAAAGGAAATGCTGGCAAAATGGCTCAGTCATAAAGGGCTTGTTATACAAGCATGAGTACTTATATTTTTTTTTTTCAGTTTGTTTTCATTTATTTATCTTGGGAGGGGTGGTGTGCAGAGGTCAAAGGACAACTTGGGGAGGTTGGTTCTTTCATTCCAAGGTTGGTGGCCAGTGCCCTTTCCCTTAGCCATCTTGCCAGTCCCTGAATACAATTCCTAGTACCATTGTAAAGATGTGGGCACAAAAGCAGTGTGCCCTGTATACCTAGCACTGGGACTTGCTGGCCAGCCAGTCTGACCAAACCAGTGTGCTCCAAGTTCAGAGGCAATGTCTTTAAAAGTAAGGTGGAGCATAAATGTATCCACATGTGCACACAGAGACAAAGTGAAAGGGATGGTGTTGGAATGATGTTCAGTAATGGACGTGCAGCTTGAACCCCTGGGCTCAACACAATCAAAAGAAGATCATGGAGGTGCATTTCAAACATAAATCTTCAGTAACAGGTTGGCAAAATTGAGTGAGTTGCTGAGAGTTTCCGACATAGTGTATGAAATCAATAGATGATGCATTAAAAAAGTTAAACATAAGCCGGGCGGTGGTGGCGCACGCCTTTAATCCCAGCACTCGGGAGGCAGAGCCAGGCGGATCTCTGTGAGTTCGAGGCCAGCCTGGGCTACCAAGTGAGTTCCAGGAAGGCGCAAAGCTACACAGAGAAACCCTGTCTCGAAAAACCAAAAAAAAAAAAGTTAAACATAGCTAAATAGTTTGACTAGTGTATGCTCTATCTAGGCAGAATTAGGAGTTCTTAGAAGGTACACAAAAAAAATGAGACATGTTAAATTTGTAAATAATTTTAAAATAAGGAATGGTTCTGTGCTAAATTCTATTAATAGCTTGTCAACTGCCCTTAGGCACTAAGCTTCAAGTTGCCCAGGTCCCTCATTCCTTCTACCCTGGTAGAGTAGATAAATTTTAGTTATTTTTTTCCACCTTAGATATGGCATAAAAAATGAAAACTTAGGTAACTGTTCAGATCATTCATATTATAGTTGAAAATCATGTATAACTACAATTGCAAATTTTCTTTATCACTATAGTACTTTTTGATTAACTCATTTCATGAACAAGACTTAAGTTTTCTAAAAATGTGTGAACAATGAATATTTAAGTTTTTTAAATACTATAGGTGTCAAAACATTGTAAGCCAAAAAGCATGCCCCAAGCTATCAGAAATATAACCATTGGCCCATTAACAACTATAAGCTCACTGACAAATGATAACTACAATTTAAACTAATTAGAGCTAGGAATGTAGCTCAATGGTAGAGCTCTCACCTAGCATGAATGAGGCCCAGGGTTCAATCTGCACCACAGAAAAAATTATAGTAGGGAAAGGATGGACAGTACAAAAGGTAATTTATGCAAACCATCAGAATATAGAAGGTTAGTAGTGAGGCTATGAAACTTAAAACTATAGGTAGAATATAGACTACTGACTAGTTTCATGTCAATTTTTTTTTCCGGTTTTTCAAGATAGGGTTTCTCTAGCTTTGAAGCCTGTCCTGGAACTCATTTTGTAGACCAGGCTGGCCTCAAACTCAGAGATCCACCTGCCTCTGCTTCCCGAGTGCTGGGATTAAAGAGGTGTACCACCACTGCCTGGCAGCACTTTCTTTTCTCCCAACTTCTTAGTTTTTCATCACAGCAGTAGTAACCCTAAGACAGCAATCAAAGATACTTTAAACAGAAATAAAAATTAATATCCCTGAGTTGTGTATAAGAAACTACTATGCTTTTTTTTATGTAATAGCATGTCATTGAAAACCATGTACCTAATCATGGTTGATAAAAATTTCTAACTCTTAGCAATGAGCCGTTGGTCTAAGACTGAAATGAATACTGAAAGAAAGACCCTGCTTATTGCCACGTTTAGTGGGAAAGTACACAATCCCTTTTAGTTTTTGCCTCAGTTGTTAAGAGCACTGGCTGTTCTTCCAAGGGTCCCGAGTTCAATCATGGCTCACAACCATGGGATCTAATGCCCTCTTATGGTGTGCAGGCAATATATGCAGCCAGAACACTGTACACAAAATAAATAAATCAAACTTTTAAAAAAAGGAGTCCAAAATCTTGTTTGAATATTTTTAAAAGAGCCATCCTGCTGCTCTAATAGACACTTACCCACTAGTGTTTATTTATTTTAGTTAGTATATGAGATAGTGGGTTTTATTACAATGACTGGGCTTTTTACCTGAGTCAAACACAATTTGTCAGGACTGGATGGACTAGGTGTTACAAAGGTGTCCAATGGGAAAAACTGACTAATTGCAATATTTTAAATGATGCTCCCACTTAATTGTCTCCTTGCTTTGATCAGTTGGTATTTCAAGTTTAAAATATGAGCCTCCAAAGGTGGCCTCATGAGAGGACCCTATCAACACTCTGCCCCTGTCCTTCATATTCTAAACCTGTAGCCCTAATGCAGCCAACTTGAATTACAGTTTTGTGAAAAGGAAAACCTTTCTGTCTCATCCTGTGATTTTTCATTTTGTTGATATTCATTCTTCAAAACAGTTTTACCCCCCACTCTTTGCAGGTTTCCTTGATTTCCAGAGTATCTTTTGTCAAAGACCAAAAAAAAAATGGCCCTCAAGGGGAGTGGCACTACTAGGAGGTGTGGCCTTGTTGGAGTAGGTGTGGTCTGGTTGGAAGAAGTGTGTTACTGTGGAGGCAGGCTTTGAGGTCTCATATGCTCAAGCCACTCCAGTGACACAGTCCACTTCCTATTGCCTTCTGAAGCCAGCACCATGTCTGCCTGCATGATGCCATGCTCCCCGACATGATGATAATGGACTGAACCTCTGAACTGTAAGCTGCCACTTAATTAATTATGTGTTTTCCTTTTATGAAAGTTGCCATGGTCATGGTGTTGTTTCAGAGCAATAGAAACTCTAAGACAAGCATGTTATTCCTTTGTCAGTCACACTCTGACACCATCTCATATCCATTACAAACTCACATCAAGGAATGCTTTTCGCTCATCCTTTAAGTACTTCTTGGATTTAGTGTCTTACACTAAATTGAATCAGTATTTGTTGAGTTGAATTGAACTATTTGATTAACTCTCATAATTACAAGCAACCCCTGGCTTGTTTATACATTTATTATTGAGAGTTCTTGTTAAAATGAAAGTTTTGTCTTGAAATTCAAAAAGGTTAAAAAATATGAAATCATTCAATCAGGTTTTTTTTTTTTTGGTTTTTCGAGACAGGGTTTCTCTGTGTAGCTTTGTGCCTTTCCTGGAACTCACTTGGTAGCCCAGGCTGGCCTCAAACTCACAGAGATCCGCCTGGCTCTGCCTCCCGAGTGCTGGGATTAAAGGCGTGCACCACCACCGCCCGGCTCAATCAGGTTTTAAAACTTAAAAAGAATCCCTGAGTCACTTCCTGTGTCCTTAAATACTGTTGGTTGTGGGCTATCTCTCTGATGTTCTAATTTTTACATTTGCCTTCATGATTATTAAGAATATATGTTTTTTTGTGCTGCTTACTTATGATTGATTTCAGGAGAGGTTTCCAATGCAAGGAAGCATCTATGTGACAAAACAGTCTCATCCCAGTAGGCAGTTACATAGGAAACATACCATAAAGCTCTAGAGGCTGTTCCGAGCCAGTGGTTTGTGTAAGAGCTTGTCAGTGGAGTACTAGCTAGGGATTCAATGCCATAAAACTTGGGAACATGGAGTACAGAGGATAATACTATAATGAATCCCCCTGGAGTTACTTAACATTAAAAGAATTTGAGAAAATTTGCCATCAAGATAAATCAAGTTATCTGTTCAGCTGCTTTAAATTTAACAGAAAATCTACCACCACTACTTCCCAAGAAAACCTAAAAGACTTAAAAATCTAGGGAAAGTGGTTCTTTTAGAAAATCACTGCCATTGTGCATATGTAGGGAGACAGAAGTGAAGGCATACTTGAGAAACAGTGATTACAAAGGTTTCTTAGAGCTACAGAATCCCTGCCATGCACTCTGGAGGACTGTCATTGCAAAGTCAAAATCCAAGATCAGAATGAACCCAAGGTAAACACAAATATCTTTAGTCTACTCTGTTGAGAATGTGTTGTTTCTTTCACATGCCCCAGTACTGAGAAAAGAAAGCTCAGTAACTCTCATGTACTCAGAGGAGGCCTAAAGAGTTTACTTCAGCAGAGTAAATACCTTTTTCCTCAACTCTGAATAAATGAAGCCCAAGAAATATTAATTACATCATCAAAGGAGAGGGGTCATGCATCCAAAAATGATGTTGTTCACGCTATCCTGTGACTAAAATTGTGCTTGCTTAGTCAATTTCCAGGCCTACTTGCTTAGATTAGGGTCTAATCTGTCTAGATCTGCCTCTGACCCACCCTTGATTCTGATCAAAAGGAAATTCACCAATAGGCCATTCAAAAGTCTGACTTTGGTTTTGAATGTATGAATAAATTGTTAATAGGGAACTTGAAAATAGAACCCTGTAGCAAAAGAAATATAAAATGTTCCAAGAAGTTATACAGGATCGACAGACACAGTTTATCATATGTTCTACACAGTGGCAACAGTACATACTTAAACTAAAAAATTATGTAGAATATGTCAAATTCTAGATAACTAGAAAAACAAGTTTTGTTTTTATTGTTGTTTTTGTGTTTGATACAGGATCTAACTAGTAGCCTTCAGTGTCCTGGAACTCCATATGTACTCCAGGATAGTCCTTGAACTAATAGAAATCTGCCTGCCCTCTGACTCTTGAGTACTAGAATTAAAAGCATATGCCACCATACCTAGTTACAGCATCCAGTATTTTTATTTGTTACACCTGTCAGTTAACATTTATTCTAAGAAAGAACTATATTTTCTTGACTATAAAGAAGAATAAAATACACTATTGCTGATAGGAAGAGAAATTACTGGATTAAATGGCTTTCTAACTTCAACTCTACATATTTTTTTCATTAAGGCAACAATTCAATTATGTTAAGAGATTGTATGTAAAACTGCTGTTTTGGTTAAATTAATAGAAAATTATTTAATTAAAAAATATGCAAACTGAGTGCAGTGGCTCATTCCTGTAATCCCAGTACTTGGGAGGCTGAGGCAAAGAATTTCCATAAGTTCCAGGGCAGCTTAAGCTATATAAAGAGTTCCAGGCTATCCTGTGTTATAGAAGGCTGTATCTCAAGAAAAAAAAAAGATTAACTACATAATGATGCCAACAGAGGTGTTGCACACCTGTGATGAAGCTGGAGGATCTCTAGTTCAAAGCCAGTCTGGACTACATAGGAGTTCCAGGCCAGCACAGGCTATGTAGTGCAAGGCGTTACCAAAAACAAAACAAACAAAAAAATTAGCTTACATACTTCCAACACTAGTACCATACATGGACTGTACATGTTTAACCTGTGACCTTTTGTCACTGCAGGAGTTTCTGTGAGCTCAGTTAAACACCCACTGTGACATGTACCTTACTTTACTCAATCTTAGAGCAAGTGCTGCACCATTGAACACAGGCACTGAATGATGCTAGAAGTAGTTTTTTTTTCCTGGCAGAGCTTTGTATGTGCTTATGAGATAGATGGACAGAGCAGCATTTCGTATTTGGGGGGCTTCTAAAATCAATGCCTTCTGCATGAGATACCAGGCTATTATGTCAAAAATATATCATTTCTTTAAAAAAAAATTGAAGTCTATCTTAGATGAGAATACATTTTGCACAATATGGGATTTTCTAGACTCCTGGATTTTTAACAATGCTTGGATACCAATCCTGTTTTTAATTTTCTTGGGTGTTGCTTTTGAGATAATCCTTGTAAGAACTTGTGAATTCTTTAAGAAAAAGCTTGAATTATGGGAAAATGAAAGTTCGTGTGCTCAGAAGGTAAGAAATGATGGATCATTCTCGTCTATTTTTCAAAAGCACACATAAGAATAATTTATAAAAAAAAATTTAACTTTGATAGTTGGGCTATTTCTCTAACATTTTGATCTTCTCCCTTGAAACAGAATGAAGATGTTTTCCCAAAAGGAATGACATTTGGTAAATATCACACAATTTCATCTTTTTTGTTTGTGTGTTTGCTTTTGGTTTTTCAAGACAGGGGTTCTCTGTGTAGTCTTGGTGTTGGCTGTCTTGTAACTAGCCCTGTAGATCAGGCTGGCCTCAAACTCATAAAGATTTGCCTGCCTCTGCCTACCAAGTGCTGGGATTAAAGGCATGAGCCATGACTGGCCAGTTTGCAATTTCATCTTTTAATATTAAACTTATTCAGCCTGAGTTTCTTCTCCTGATACTGTAACTTTTTGTTCCCATGTAGCTATAGAGAGCTGGTCCATTTCCCAGACATCGTCAGCAGAAAGGTAAGTGAGATGAATCAATATAACTTGTTTACATTCTATTCAGACTTGTATTTATTTCTGAATCCCAGAGAAGGATCTTCCTAAAGATACAGTAAATTATAGTTCACTCCAATATTGTTTTTAAGTCATTGCCTTGTTCCAAGCTGTGATAAGGGCTTTTCATATATTGGTAAAATTATCCTTTAAAGTAGATAAAGCTTACAGAGGTTAACTGACTCAGATTCTTATGATAAAATACCCCACTACTCACAACAAAATAGTAGCCACAATTTCTTATAATTCATTTGGTAAAAAAATTTACCATCTCTTGTGGATGGAGCCAACAGTGAAGCAGGTGCTGTAAAACTGAGAGGCTCTCTGAAATTCAGAATGCAGTTTAGAATCTGACAGCTTACAAGTGCTTCTGCTGTGCTTTAGACACTAACATCATCATTGCTCTTTGTTGCAATCTTAATTGTTTTAACTAAAACTCATCCAGTGATTATTAAACATCTATACAGTGGATGGACATTGTTAGATGCTAGGATACAAACACTTGAGCTAGCTTCTGATCTCACACATGTAGCTAAAGGACAGTTGCTGCCCAGTACTCAAACATTTAGGAGATGTCTGAACCAGCCTAGGGCTTTAAGAATGGTTTTGTGGAAGGGTACATGAGAGTTGGGATTTCAATTTTTAAAATTACATTTATGCATTGATTTGTTTGCATGGTTTATGGTGGAGGTGGGAAGGCCTCACATGGGAAAGCCAGACGACAGTTTGCTCCTCTCACCACATTGGCCTTGGGGATTTAACTCAGGTCATCAGGCCTGGCAGCAAGCAGTTTTGCAAGCTGAACCATTCATGGACCCTGGAGCTTGATTTTAAAGAACAAATGTAAATTAGCCTGAAACTAGAGTTTAGAAGATAGTAAAGGCATTCCAGGACATATACAAAGACAAGGGAATAAGAAACAGCAAGCTGTGTGAAAGAAATAGCAATGATTTCAGAGTTGCTGAAAAGTGAACTGGGTACAAGTAGTGGGAGATGAATGTGAAGAGGTGGAAGGGGCTAAGATCATAGAAGGCATTCTATACCATTCTAATCCAAAACTTGGATTTAACACTGAACAAAAAACACTGTAGATGTTTAAGAAAAAGAGGGTTTGGGAGTTTCAAGATGGCCCAGTGAGTGGATAAAGCGCTTGCCCACACAAGACTGGTGTTTAGGTCCCAGCACCCACATACATAATAATCTAGTGTGATGCCCACCTGTAATCCTAAGCACTCAAGAACACCTGGCTAACTAGGTTACCCCAAAGACACCCTTGTAACATGAATCTTAAGTGGTCTTATAATAAAAAAAAAAACCTGGAGCCAAATATTGAGGTGAAGCTGAAAGATCAGAGAAGCAGAACAAGCCAGCCACAAGCTCTTACCCCTAGGAAATCCTCAGTCTCAAGACAGTGAGTTCCTGTTTCCTCACACCTTATATACCTTTTTCTGCTCTGCCATCTTACTTCCTTGGATTAAAGGTGTACACACTTGTGTACACACAAGCAAAGGCATGAGATCTCAAGTGTTGGGATTAAAGGTGTGTACCACCATACCTGGCTTTGTTCCCAGTGTGGTCTTAAACTTGCAGAGATCCAGACGATCTCTGTCTCCCAAGTGATAGGATTAAGGATGTGTGCCATCACTGTCTGGCCTCTATGTCTAATCTAGTGGCTGGTTCTGTTCTCTGATCCCCAGATAATTTTTATTGGGGTATACAAAATATTACCAGATTTCTCCTTTTTTGTCTAAAATAATAACAGAAGACTATAACTAATATAAGAAAAACTATATACAATAAGTACAATAAGGATATAGAATATATACAGTCAATAATTACATTAACAATGTCTAGTCCATTAACATTTGACAGATTCAGTGAAAATACTTCATTATCTATCCTATTTTGGTGAGTCTAAAATGTGTCTAATTCACTTTCTATCCTAACTTGTATTACCAACGAAAAACTATCCTTTGATGTCTTTCAAACTTATACACTTTACACCTCTTTAGTGAGTTTCTGTTCTGAATTTGTTAACAAAGAAACTATAACTATCTAATCTTCAACTCCCTCAGAGACCTGAGAAGGACATAATATTACCTAAGTAAGCAGGAAATGCAAGCAAGTGACTTCCAAAAATTTTACCAGAGACATATGCTGGAACATTGTCAGTTTTAATCTGTATAAGTATACCCAAGATGGCCATAACTTCTAGCAAATGTGTGATTATAGAATCAGCTTTTTTGGAACTCAGAGCAGTTGCCCATTGAAATCCTGAATAGGTATCAATGGTGTGGTGTACATATTTCAATTTTCCAAATTCTACAAAATGAATCACATCCATCTACCATATTTCATTCCTCTGAGTGCCCTTTTGGTTACATCCTGCTGGTAGTGGAGTTTAACTGTAAAAAGAACAAGTAGGACATTTCCTTATAATATCTTTGGCTTGTTGCCAGGTTACAGAAAAGTTCTTTTTTAAACCCTTACTATTGACATGATGTTTTTGTTTTGTTTTGTTTTGTTTTGTTTTGTTTTTTGTTTTTTCGAGACAGGGTTTCTCTGTGTAGCTTTGCGCCTCTCCTGGAACTCACTTGGTAGCCCAGGCTGGCCTCGAACTCACAGAGATCCACCTGGCTCTGCCTCCCAAGTGCTGGGATTAAAGGCGTGTGCCACCACCGCCCGGCCGTGACATGATGTTTTTTATGAAACTCTGAGGCCTCCAGTACATTTCCTATCAATAGTTCATCAATCTCATCATTTCTTTGTGCTAGAGGGCCTGACAGACCTGTATGGGATCGGATGTGAGTTATATATAAGGGATGATTCCTATTCTTGATTACTTCTTGTAACTGAATAAATAACAAAGTTAATTCTGACTCACCAAGGATAAATTCTGCAGTTTCAACATGTAAGACCACTCTTTCAGCATACTAGGAGTCAGTAACTATGTTGAGGGGTTCCAAAAAATCTATTAATACCATCAGAATAGCATATAATTCCAATTTTTGGATAGAATTATAAGGACTTTGAACCACTTTTCTTAAATTTTCTCATTTGTAACCTGCCTTTCCTTGTTTGTTTGTGCCTGTATAAATTGTAGGGGCCCCAGATATTGGTGTTTCCCATACAATTGCGAGTCAGGATCCAGTTAGCTCTTTTTATAAGTTTAATTCTATCACTTTTGGGATATTTGCTGTTAATCTCCCCCTCTCCCATGCAAAAAAAAAATATATTGCAAGCTCTTTGCCAAGATTCACTTCCTGCCCATAATTTGTCAATTCATCATTAGTTGAAGGTACTACAATTTCTGCTGGTCTATTCCTGCTAATTGATGAAGTCTTAATTTTCCTTTTAAAATCAACTCAGAGATCTTTTCCACATAAGTTTTTAATTTTTTTTTACTGTTTATTTGGTAGAAAAATCCATTCCAACATAATATTCTCTCTGCATTAAAATTCCTGTAGGAGAATGCCTAGAGGGTAAAATAACCAAAATGCAATTAAGCTTTTGGATCTAAGATGTAAAACAGAGAGAGGAGGAGAAAGAAACCTGACCTCAACCTCTGCCTTCCATATGCATGTATGCAAATGTGTTTGTGTACCTTTATACACATGTGTGACCACACACATGTTAACATGCATAGACATACAGCATGCATACCACATACGAACACAAAGAGGATTGTTTTGTTTTTCTGTGAGATCACTCATTTCTTGGTGCAGAATGAGCCTGGAGATTGATAGTCTAATTTCTTTCATACTTCAAATGTACTAAAATTTAAAGTCTAGTTGCTTTGTTAGTCTATTGGTCCTAGGAACTTTAGTACTAAGATAGGTGCCTCAAGAAGCAGAAATACTATCTGGAGGTCCCAGGTTAGTAGAATCCTTGTCAAGGGTAGCTGGTAGTAGGACTGCCATGGTAAACTGGGGAAACTCCATAGTGCTGTTAGATACTCATGGGACTGTCTAAGACACTGCATCTTTCAGCACAAGGGGTACACTGTCTTCAAAGCTCACCAGAGGATTGACAGGAAAGAGGAAATCTTAAAAAAAAAATGAGGACAGGGATTTTCAGCTTCCTCCTCCATATGCTATCATTTACTTCTTCCTGCCTAGGCAGGAGTTAATCCTTAGGTGGCTTATAAGGAAAGATACATCAGTCACCTCTAAAGTTTCACTTTTCATGGTTTCAGGTACTTGAGACCAACTATAGTTGGAAATATGCAATAGAAAAATCTAGAAACAAACAATTCATGACTTTTAAATTTCATGCCATTCTGAGGAGTGTGATGAAATGTGCTGGGGTGGTTTGAATAAGAATGTCCTTCATAGGCTCAGATATTTGAGTGTTTGGTTTCCAACTGTTAGAGTGTTTAGGAAGGATTAGAAGGTGTCTTTTGCCAGGCGGCACACGCATTTTAATCCCAGCACTCGGGAGGCAGAGCCAGGCGAATCTCTGAGTTCAAGGCCAGCCTGGTCTACAGAGCGAGATCCGGGACAGGCACCAAAACTACAAAGAGAAACCCTGTGTCTAAAAACCAAAACCAAAAAAAAAAAAAAGTGTCTTTCTTGGAGGAGATGTGTCACTGGGGATGGACTTTGAGGTTTCAAAAGTCCACACCAGCCCAAGTCACAATCTCTCTCTGCCAAGAACCTGTGGATCAGATGTAAGCTCTCAGCTACTGCTCCAGTGCTGTGCCTATCTGTCTGCTGTCATGCTCTTACCATGGACTAACCCTCTGAAACTGTTGACTTGGTCATGGTATCTCCCCAAGACAGATGCCAATCTGCTCTGTTTCTTTCTCCAGCATATGCATGCTGTATTATCCTATATAACTTAGTTGCCATCTTAGTGTTTCAGATTGACTGTTTCATATTGCTGTACTTGTATTCACAATAAATAAATACATCTTTATTTATTTTTAAATAAATAATCTTTATTTACTTAACTATGGCTCCAAAGAATTCCAATGTTGGTGCTGGCAATTCAGACATCAAAAGAGAAGCTGCAAAGTGCTTTAAATGAAAAGTGAAAATAAGATAGGACTTTTGAGACAGAGAAAGACTACATAACTTTCATTATGGTGTGATATAATGTTCTATTATTTGTTGCATTTGATTCTTTTCCTGACATAAATTAAACTTCAGGGAACTGAGTAGCAGAGTGCTTGCCCTTGCCTTGTGTGTTCTAGGCCTTGGGTTTAATCCCTAGTACTGCAAAAATCAGTTCATAATTTAATAGTTAAGCATTATTGTAAATAAGAAGAAAAATTTTAGTGTACCCAGCATTTGGTGATGTCTACAGATTCAAGTTTGCTAGGGGCTGGGAATGGATCCCTGAGAAGGGAAGCATTATGACTGAGAAGGGTGGTAGAACAGTGGTTATGGAGGAGCAGGCTTAAAGAGGACATGCTCCAGTGGACACATACTGCAGTGAAAACCCAGTATTTTGGGTTTACACAAGCCAAGCTTTAGTTAATTAGCTCATCAATTAATTTTTGTTTGAGACAAGGTCTTGCTGTGTAACACAGATTGGACTTCAATTCTAGACTCTCCCACTTCAGGCTCCTGAAAGTGTAGGCTACCACACCTTCCTAAGGTTTCAATTTGTATCATGGTTTTGCCTTTTGTTGATTGGCCTGGCATTAGACAATTAGCTTTAGGACATTGGTCTGTGAATTTATGGTTAATAGCAAGTCTAAAATCTGTAGTGTACGTCTAAGGATTATCTTGACAAAATTTCTTCTTGCTGTAGAGAAGTTATTCTTGCTTTTGATGCCTAAGGCCGATTAGATGACTCCTCCCACATTGGGGAGAACAGACTCCTTTATAATTTACTAATTCATATGTTAATCTCATCCCTAAAATACCATTATAATTTTGGATCTTGTGTCTGAGCACCACAGCTCAGCTAAGGTGACATATGAATTAGCCACCATACTCAGGTAATGATGCTGCTAGTCTGAGTACTTGTTTGACAGCATAGTCATCCACAGTAGAAGAAAATTGCAACATCTTTGCTATATGTTCATTACTACAAATCATTACTCTGATCCAGAAGTCCACTGAGAAGTACTTACTCCTAAATGTAGGTTTTTCTCTTCCTCACAATAGCTGGCAAGATTAACTATAGAAAATTACACTTGATATGATAGGATATTCTTCTGTTATACATACTGAATTTCCATAACACTGTTTCTTATAAAAAATTTTTATGTGAAGAATAGAAATGTATTCTTTAATAAAAGCATATACTCTTCACTCTTTGGCTCACTGCTATTAAAAATACTTTTAGAGAGACTGAGGGAGAATTTATCTCACTCTCTTAAATAAATGGTTTTTTTCACTTTGTGTTTGTAAACAGACCTGTTTTCATCTGTGACAGATTTTCCTTAAGTCTAGAGTGAGACCCTATAATATGCTTATGTTAAGTTACAACTCACATGCACTGTTTTTTTTTTTTTTATCTCCAGAGTTGAAACCTTTTCAGGAAGAATAACAACTAGTTCTCCATCTGCGGAAAATGGAGATAACACTAGCGAAAGAACCTTTTCACCCTACGAATGTGAATATCAAGGAAGTCATTTTTGTGAAAGTCACTCATCTTCAGGTGGGACCAGTACATCTTTGTCAATGTTTTACTCAGAAGTAAATAAAATTTTCATGAGATCCTTTCACAGAAAAGATCCACAAAGTGAATATCAAACAATACAATTTTCCTCTAATAAATTACTTCCAATAATGAAAACCAACAGAACAAAAAACAAATTTCCTGATGCTCTTAGTTTTCAAAGCACATTTAAATTTACAAGAGATAAGGATCTCAATGTGACACCATGCCCTCCTGTCCATTTATTTCTTTCTAGCGACCAAATTAGACATGTGGAAGAAAATGTAAGAAGGAAAATCCCTGTGAACCCCAAAGCTATATCAGTGAGGGAAGATGATTGTCTGCACCCCAGCTATCAGGAACCGTTGATTCATTATCAACATTCTAAAGAAGTGGTTATTCCTGCTGAAGCACAAGATACTTTATCAGACCAAAGTGCTATGCAGAATCAAATGATTCATGAAGCACAGTTTACTAACCAAACTCAACCATTTATTTATAACCAAGAGTCAGTCAGCAGCCAGCCTGATTTTGTTCAGCCTCTATATTTTATGAGACTGCCATTTTCTAACAGCTTACAAGACTCCTTCCAGGCCCAACAAATAGACCATAAAGATAAAAGCCAACATTTCATCCATATCCCATGTATTGTTGAAGATTCAACCAAGGGCATAGAGTCTGATGAACATTTCAGTGAGACCCAATATTCTGTTTATTTAAATGACCAAAACAAGAGTAACCATTTAGTTAAAGGGAAAAATAGTGTTTTCCAGAATGCTGAATTTCTATCTTTAAGTTCAAATTCATTTGTTGAACCTATGCCACAACAAAAGATAATACCAGGCCAAGAGCCAGTGGCTTCATTGGAATCAAACCAGTTTTATGCATACAGTATAATATCTCTTTCACCTACCATTAAAAGGCAGAAAAACAGGAGAAAAATACCAGACAATGAAAGAAAACTCAGTCTTAAATTTCCATCTCCAAAAGCAAAGAAAATCTCTCGTTCACGGGTGTTTCCAATCATAGTATGTCATACTTCAGAAAATAAGACAGAGTTAAGGTGCAAGAAAAAGAAAATAGCACACCAAAGGAAAGTAATGTCAGATAGAGCTTTGCATCTTATTTCTGTCTCTAAGCTTATCAACCTCCAGGTTAAAAAGTATTTCTTTAAAAATCTAGTAGCAGTCATACCAGACTTTAAAAAATGTGAACATTTTCTGAAGGGGCAAAATAAGTCACTAGATACAGAGAAAATAAATTATGCAAGTTCTACTGATAGAGTAAGCTTGGGCATTATTAAAAACATAGAACATGTGTTCATTGTCAACACTCATGAAATGAAAGCTCCTTGTTCATTATTTGAAACAGACAGAGAGAGTAAGGAGTCTAATGAGGACTCAGTTCAGCAGACATTTGACCTGAACATTCCAAAGCATGAGGGGCTTTCAGAAGTGTCATCAGACTCTGCACAGAAAGATGTTTCATTTCCCCACATAGAATCGAACAAAGGAATGAAAGTACAGAAGGGCATACAAAGTACAGAGAATGTAGAGAAGTTAACAGTCAGTACACCGAATGTGCAAAGGTGCTTTTTGAAAGATGGTGTACAGAATGCCGAAAATTCAGTGGAGATCACTCTGAACTTCCTGGGTACCAATTTGCTTATTTCCCTGGGACCTGAAAAGCATGTGAAAAATGAATTAAAAGACATGAATGTTCAAGTGATTACAGGAAGCAAAAATCTGAAGGAAGAGAAGCCATTAACAGTTAATATTACAGAATATGGTAACCCAAATGATAGTGAGAAGATGGAATGTGTCACTAGAAGCAATAAAAAAAATAGACATCATGATGAAAGGATGTCAGATACCTCTCATAATACCATGCAGGCTGCCATTTCTGAACCCTTTGATATGGAAATATGTAACAAATTAAAAGCTAATGCAGGCACACCAACAATAAATTGTAGTCACACTGCACTAAAGCAAGAAAAACTACTAGATGAAAAGAAAATACAGGAAGTAAAGCATGCTGATAAGAGTCCTATGGTTAGAAAACCACCACGTGAGTGGGACTGTGAGGAAGAAGAAAAACGTAGAGAGACAGTTCGACTACTGGCAGAAGTCAGCGTATATCTGAAGCAAAAGGACAAATGTGCCCAATTTGAAATGGAACAGATTCATTTGGGAAATAGAAAAAATCAAAGTAAAGAGAAAGAAGTACAGTCACAGACTATTTCTACACAGACCATATGGGAGACTAGTCCACGTCCCTTGACAAATCCACTACAAGTTGAGGAAGTGAAGCAAAGGACAGACAAACCTATAGACAGAGAGGAGGCTGCAGGTCCCATGCACTCACCTTTAATGCCAGAGAACTTGCCTGTTGGTGAGTGTTTAACTGAAACAACAGAATGTAGGGGTCCACTTTGTGGAAATCCCACAAAAACATTGGATGGTCATATTATAGAAGACAAAGAAGACTTGAAAAAGGACCAATGTTCAGTTGCCACAGGACCTTTGAAAGTCAGAAAAAAATCATCAGGACCAAAAAATGTACGAGGTGTCAAGCACAAAATTATAAAAGTGAAAAAAACTAAATTTTCCCTGAGGCTTTCTATCACTGCACGTGACATTCTGCACCACAGGAGAAAAGTGGAAAACAGCTTTGAAAACATCACTAAACAAATGCTATATGATGTAACATTGGGACCTGGACTTCTGAATGTTCACCCTCAGAGGTTTATCATTCACAATAATAAAACAAACATCAAGAAAACACCCCAAAAAACCCAAATTGAAAAGAAAGAGAATTTAGATCCCCTCAATAAAGAAAGTGAAGCTGTAAATACTCTAGAAGTTCACTTGCGCAGTGGTGTGAAAGCGGTAGGGCAAGTGCTGCCAGAGACTGTGACTCATGTAAAGAAGAGCTTCAGATTTGATGCACGTCCAGTGAAGGAGATTAAAATGGAGAAAGAAATGTTTCAAGCAATATCTTTCACAGAAGCAATTAGGAAATCAGCTGACTCACCGAGAATGGATTCATTTTGTGTTGCAAATACAAAAAATAGCACATCTACACAGACAGAGCTCCAATATTGTACAGAATTAGAGTTGGGTCCTCCAACATCAGGAAAATTATGGATGGGAGAATCTCTGAGCCAATCAAGAGAAAGTAATGTTCCAAATAGTGGGAATGATTGTGGTTTTACCCAAAAAGCTTTCTCGTGGTCTTTAAATAACTGTATGCCTCTTTTGACTCATTCTAAAAAGAAGAAAGAACGAACAAGACTCACAAATACAAGTACAGTGAGGCTCAAGTATACGAATAAGGTGAAACCACCAGTGTCAAAGACCTTCAATATCACAGGCAATAAAAAGAAGTCAAAATTGGACCTCAAGACCAAATTAAAAAGAACAAACCAAAAAAAAGCACTTTTACATGAATGTCAAAACACTCTTTGCTTATCCATCCATAGAAGATTGAAGGGAGTGTTCTGTCATGCTCTACTAAAGCAAAGAGGGCTACCAAACAAAATATGTGTTGATTGTGTTGTTGAGAGTAGTGCCTTCTACAAAAGAAAGAAAAAACTTCAAGAAGAGAAACAAAACCCTTTTATACAAGCAGCTCCACAGCATGGCAAACACCAGTGGGCTGATGCAGATCAAAGGAAGGACACTCTCCAAGATGAGCCAGACCCATCACCCATCTCTTTAAGTCAAGAACAACTTGCTAACAGTCAGAGTATAAAGTTCCAGAAAGATTCCCTGCAAAGTGCTCTGGAGACCAACCCACAAATGGCTCCCATCCAAGCTAAAGGATTACAGAAAGCTACCAAAACAGAAAATGACATAAACTTACCTGTGGTTCCTAAAATTTTATCTCCTGAATCAGGGAACTCTTCACCTGGTGAATTTACAAACATGACAGATGACGATTTAGAATCTGACAACAACTCTGAACATGAACTAGATTTGTATCCTGCAGAAAAAGATTCAGAGACATCAAGTCTGCAGGTGACATTCCTGCAGTCTTCTGATTCTGTTACAAGATCCTTTGTTTCTAGACCTAAAGGGAAGAGAAAAGCACTAAGGTCAAAGAAGCAGATAACAGTGAGTCAAAAATGTAGAGCTATGAGGGAAATAAAACCATCAGTTTCACAAACAGGTAACTTCAGGTACAGCAAAAAACTAAAACGACACAAAGAAATGAAAGATCCACAGCAAACGGATAACATAGCAGGTGCCTGTTTGGACATTGTTCACTACAAGGTATATATTTTGCCCAACAAAAAAATTATAAGTTCAAAACCATGGGCAGATAAACAGAGAAGAATAAGAAGACTTGGTCGAATGCAGCGAATGCAAGAGAAGTCACCAAATGGAAGAAATGCACGCTGTCTAGGTTCTGCTGATTTGAATAGTTCCTCTAGCATGAAGAAGTATGAAGAGGAAGGAGAAGAGGAACTAGAACATTTCCTGATCTCAGAAAATAGCCCTAGCCTTATATTTGATATGTATCAAGAAAAAGACCATGGCCTTGTTAGATCAGATAAACAACTGAACCAACTAGGGAGAACAATTACTCAGGTACAACCACAAACACCTACAGAAGTTATTTCCTGTTCTACCCTATGCTCTATCCCAGATGAATTACAATTAGAAAAGCTGGAGGGCTGTTTCAGTGTTTCCCCTCTAAAGTTCAGGGAAGTCAAGGACAATGCATTATCTGAAAGAGAAAGTGATTTATCTGATGGAAGGCGATACAAGGAACAGGCTGCTGACAGTGAAAAGGAGGCAAAGGAACTATTAGCCTCATACACTAATCCAAACCTTATCAGGGAAATAAAATGTGACTCAACCAAAATGAAAGGCATGTATCAAGAGAAAAAAATTGCAGATGAAACATCCTCTTTGACAAATGTTGCACTGGATATTAATATGAGTAGCAAGATAGAAACAAGAAAAGGCACTCCAAGCAAAAAAACACCCTGTTCTATACAAAGGAAGCCAAAGATACTGCTTCATGAAGCGAGGGTTACTTCAGATGACATCAAAGAAATTGATCTCCAAGATAAAGAAGAAAAGAAAAATGATAATGACACATTATTGAAGTCATTCCCACAGTATAGCCAACATTTTGTAATTTGTTCACATCAAAGCAGGGATCCTAACTCTCACAAATTAAGAAAACAAAGAGGGAGGAACAATCTGTTCATTGTGGAACAGGACATTCCACAGCAGAGTCAGTCAGCAGATCTAACACGAAGAGAGCATGCCATGTGTACATCAAGTTCAAAGATTCCTCCCATACAATCAGGAGAATTACAAATAGATAAAGTTAAGACTGATAGAACAAAATATGACATCCCTAATAATGGTACTCTTGCACAGAAACTGAATAGCTGGAATAGATTGGAAAGAGAAGGGCTTCAAAATGACCTACAAGCAACTATCACAGAGTCTTTGAATCTCTCAACCCCTGATGTACCGAGATCAAAAAGGAAGAGCAAGGTATCTACATGCAAAGCCTTACAAGGTAAAATGTGTTCAACTGGTATAACTATGAAAGGAAGGAAAACATCTGTTTCAAAGTTATTGACTATTCCACAGTGTGGTCATAGAAACAATCTACTTCCAAAAACTTTGAAATCACAGATTTTTGAATTATTAATACATTCTGGTGTCTTACCTGATAGTCTTAATATAATAATATTGAAAGATCCAACAGCAGAGGGAAAAAAAGGATTATTAACCCAAGAACTGGCAACAACAATGTTAGAGTCTTTGGGTTTCTCCATACCTACATCAAAAGAAAGAGAGAATTTAAAACTCATGGACAAGGTAAATGAAATGAGTAAGAACTCTCTGACTGTCAAAACCAGGAAGGAAGCAATCTCCCAGACACTTATTACTGCAGAATGTAGAACACCAAAACAAGGTATACCCATGGCAGGTTCATCCCTACATGCCATCTTCTCTCCTATGCCTGTGTCTCTTAATACATGTGATGGGATAAAAGATAGAGATACAATGTGGACAATGAGATTTAGTCATGAGTTTCATGACCAGTCAGTACATAAAGAGGGAGCTTGGTGTACACACTACTTGGACAAGGATACTACCTCAAATGGCACCAAAGATGTAAAAGGTCAAAGTGGTGAAGAGCACTCACTGACTTCCCAACACTTCAGTTTCAGTGCTCAGAATATGACAGGGCCTAATTCTGTGAAATCTGGTTTACAACTGATTAATTCAGCAACTTATCCAGAGTTAGAGAGAACTCTATACTATGGTCAAGCACAGACAGTCAATGTGAATAACCTGCAAAGCAGCATGGTAGGTGTAATGTCTACATTTTTAAATACAGAGGAATCTGAGATTGGCTCCATACCATGTGATAACACCTGGGATGAAAACACCAGGAGAAAATGTGACTATCCCATTTTTGAACAAAAAGCATGGACACAAAAAGATTTAACATCTTTAGAACCTTTACAGGAGCCCAGCCTTGTGTCATTTGAATACAAATGTGAAAGCTGCACATTAGAGTTTGCAGGCAAAAGAGATATGAATCCCAAGGCAAGGCAAGCTTCAAGGCTGCTTAATATTGCAAGGCATTTTACAAGAGTCCATAGAAAGAAAAGGCACCATAATAGTAAACACTGGTTGAGAAAGGTTGAATGTGTGGAAGAGGTGCTGCTTTATGCTATTGAAGATGCTAAGAGTTGTCCACTCAAATTCATAACTGATAAACTGTCACTTGATACAGCAGCAAGGATACCTAACAGAATACCTCAAAGATCTATGGCAGAAGAAAAAGCAAAGTTACAAGCAAACTTAGCCACAACTTTCTTGGGACCTTATAATTTTCTCAGACCTCTTTTATCTGACTTTAAAAGCCAGGTAAACACAGCAAAATTATCAGAAAATGAAATTTTGTTGAATAAGAGGTTTTCAACTATGAAGAAAATGAAGCTATCAATTTCAAAGATAATTAAAATAAATGGATACTCTATCACAAACCATAAGAAGAAATCTAAATTAAGAGCCAAAATGAAAGCAATGTGGATTGGTGAAATCATAAATGATGTACTTCAAAACACCATTCACTTCATATTAACTAACTCTAACAGGAAAGATCCATTTAAAACAGAGGTAGGTTTGGGAGTATCAAACTTTACCCATACACAGCCAACACACGGGAAGTCACCAGTTGAAGGCACAACAAAGTATGATGATTCTGTTGACAAAAGTGGTTCCAACTTTTCAAAGAAAGCTAAACTATATGTTGGGCAATGCTTGGAAGAGAAGCAAGAACTGCTAATAGAATCGGGTCCATTTTATACAAAAAACTTAGCAGTAAATGCACATCTCATAAAGAAACCCAGTCTTGAGGAGTCAGAGAGAATACTTTTAAGAGAATATTTACCCCAAAGAAGTCAAATTTATGAGGCTAATCCAGAAATTAATGTAAAAATAGAAAATAACAGCATGCACGTAAGCCTCAAAGATGCACTCTCAAATATGGATAAACCGCACAATTGTCCAGAAGCCAGTGAACCAAGCAGTAACACTACCAAACATGGAGTAAAGAAAACTGGCAAGTCTTTTTTAAAAGAAAAGTCTTCATTTTATTTGACAGGAATTATCACTTCTATTGCCAGGCATTTAGTTTCTTCCAAAGAATTTAAAAAGCAGATTGGTAACATGAGAGTACCTGACCTGCCAGCTCATAAAGGTATGGAATCAACAGATTTACAGTCACCCCATGATGGAGACCATGCTGCTGTAAACATAAATGAGACACAGGATCTGAGAACCTTAGAGATAAAAGTAGATAATGGTGAGATAAACATAGATACGAAATCCATCTATATGTGTACGCCAATTCAACATATAAAAACAGAGTCATCACATAGTATATGGGATATGTATGAGGAATCTGCAAAAAGAAATTGCCTGGACAAACCAGAACTGAAGAGGAAAGAAGAGTGTGGACAGCTGCCATTTGGAGCAGATCAAAAGAGACAACCTGATCCTCTCACATCAGAAGTACTTTCCACTAACACAGTGAACTGCAAAGATAGCACGCTTCAGAAAACAGCTATTTATCAAGAAGGAAATGCAAAAGTTGGAGAAGAGTTTGGCCAAGAGGTTATTCTTTCCTCTAAAACACATACTCTTCAAATTGAAAGGCAGAACAATGAATTTAAAACAGGATGGAAAACAAAGTCTAAGTTTTTTGCCCTGCAAAAGAAACAGGAAAAACCTAGTATCTTGGGACCTACATGGAGTTCTTATGCCTGTGACACTACCTATCCTGAAACTATAAGACAGAAAGGTAAGGCAAAAAAACCAAATGTGAAAAGTTCTGTGTGTGCCAAACAAACAAAGCTGAAGGCAAAGAAAATACCGGTTCCTCTACTTCTTGGACATGGGGGCAGAAGCAATAAAAAAGAACTGGGACGTAGCATGCAGCACCAGAGCACATTAGAACTGAGGAGAAATGTACAAAACCTGATTCTAAAAGGTAATTTTGACTTGGGATGCTTTATATCTCCAGTTAAAAAGCTTACCAGCATAAAGCTGGAGAAAGGCAAGTTGGAAGAGAGAAAAAACGTTCTTCCACAGATAATTCTGGAGAAACCATCCAGCCAAAGGCAAATGTCATGGTCAGGATGTATTGATGTATCTAGGAAACTAGAAGAAAATATTAAAGAGGTGCATGATCACTGCACTTTCAAGGACATTCACCAGCAATTTATACAACAATTTAGGGTTACGTCAGAAGAAATTAAAGAGCATCACTCTTACAAATTAGAAAACTTACAAAGAAAGATGAATTCTGAGTTAACTTCACAGAAAGATGAAACTGATAACTTTGGGCTAGCTACCTTAAGAAGTAGAGGAGGAACAAAAGTCTATACAGACCCACACGACAGCCTGCAACAGGAATATCCCCTGAAGCAAGGGATGTGGAAACCAGGAATGATTCTTCAGCCTATGAAGGGATTTCCTCACTTTGGAATGACAAATGAATTCATAACAAAACAAGACATCAAACCATCAAGTCCACAGAGGATAGGAGGACTGAAAGTAATAGATAACCCATTAGATTCAAAGGAATCATTGCTTGTTCCCAGGATTACCGTACAGAAACAAAATCCTTTTACAGATCCTCTTCTGGAATCCATTCCCTCTCATGTACCACACCAACTTCATACTGAAGAGCTAAAGGAAAACATGAAAATAAGTGGCAAAACCTTAAAGACTTCAACTCAACAGCCAAAGAAAGTCTCAAACGCAGAATATATTTCAGATATGGATCACATTCCAAGAAATATTGAAAAACTACTCTTGCTTATTAAAGAGCAGGAAAAGAGGAGAAAAAAGAGTAGAGGGAGTAAAAAAATTGAAATAGTGGAAGACATAAAAACAGCAACAAAGAATACCATTCCATTTCTAAATTATTCACCACCTGGAACACAGTTTGTCAACACAATAAAGAACAGTGGTGTGTTCAGGCAAAGAGAGGAGACAGAGCCAACCAGGAGTGTGGCCACATTATGGAGACAGCAAAGGTTGTGTGTACAAGGGATCGGCCTAGACTATGTTTATACAGATGAGCTTACTTCTAAAGTTATATGTCAAAACAGAAGAACAGCTTTCATGGAAAGGATCATGTATCACAAAAGGATAAAAATGAAGGCAAGGAAGACAACTTCTGGGAAGCAGCTCAACATTACAGGGTATAGAGCCCATAGCTACAGAAAGGAACTAAGACACAGCATTAAGACACAGAAGGAGCTGTCCCAAGGAAAAACTGTGGCCGATTTGCTTTGGAAAGGTCTTTGTGCTTCTGATAACAGTTCAATATCGAGCACTATCAGAAAATCAACACAATATACCATAAAGCAAAAAGAACACCAAGTGGTTTTACTAGCTATTACCCCACAAAATAAAGACCAATTAATGACTGGTCAACAGGTGGAGGAGCCTAGACTTATCAACTTCAATGCCCATTTGGAGAAAGAAGCATACCATGTCATGTTTCCAGAGACTGGAGAAACCAATTACAGTAAGCTTGAGGCTCAAAGACCCAGATCAGACACAGAATTTGAATTCTCAACCGCACAAAGAGTAAAGCAAGGAGTTATGAAAGACTCCAGCAAGCATGCACTTTTAGTTCCACCCAGAAGAGGAGGACCTAAGAGGATAAATATTTTAAGTTCCAGAGGACATGACATATCTCTCATGGAGCTGGATACTTTCCAGAAAAAGACAGGTAATGTGCAAGAACTGCTCAAACAAGAAAACACTTCAAGGGTAGGCTTGGAGTCTGTTGCCTGCACAGTTAGGGAGTCCTTTCACTTGGAAAACACAAAGGTAACTAAGGAAGTGGGTATGTATCATAACATAAAAAATATTTCCCATCTATTTGGATTAAGAAAAACTGACACAGAACTAGGTTTCAAAGCACAGGCATTTCTCTGCACAGATCTAGAGGATCTACACAAAACAGGTACCGCTCAGAAAGGCCATGCAAAGTCAGGTCACAGGCCTCGAATCAGTCTGAATTCTGTACCTTGCCACAAGAGGGCTCCTCTTCACTTAAAACCAAGCTTGAGTACAGCAAGGAAGGACCATGGTGACAGTGCCATAGTTGCCAAAATGAATCCCAAGGGAAAAGAAAAAGCCAAATCAGCTGATAGTCCATTAAAATTAAACAGACAGAAAGTGAACATTTCAAAAAACTTGAGAGCAAAACAACTGATTATTTTTACCCAGACCAAAGAAAAAGTTTTGGAAATTCTTTTATCTTGTATATTATATCTTCAGGCTAAAAATACACAGAAACAAATCTCAGCAAAAGCATCACTAAATTCAAATATTTTTAACCCAATGGTAGAAAAAGGATCAAGTGAATTTAAGATTCTAGAAGATCAATCTCCAAGTTCAGAAAGAGTTTACTTGCACACTAAAGGAGGAACAGATCATCAAGAGAGTATGTGTGAGGCTCTTCCAATGTCTAATACTCACTGTTTGATGAATATACATCGAATTACAACACCACAGATAAAGAAAGCATTAAAATCCCTAGCTAATCTGGACTATCATGCTTTAAATACAGAAAAGGGAGAACAGAACAACATGATAAAAGAACAAAACCAGTACCACCTGTCATTTTCCCTCGAGAATTTGGAGGAACATATATCATTCTCCCAAAATTATTCTCATGTCCAGCAATATTTAGAGTTTCACACAAAGGAAGAATTGTCAAAAGTAGGCAATGTGTCAAATAGGACAAAGGGACTAGATTTATCATCTAAAGATCAACGAAGTACTGTGTGTGAATGTAGACCAGAGTGGATTTTCCCCTCAGTTATTCTAGAGCAAACAAAAGAAGAAGATACAGTGCTGCCTTTGGAATCAGGAACTATAAAATGTTCAAGCTTTTTGTCATCTGAAAGAAAGCAGTTATCTGATGGAGTACAGATAAGTAAGTCAGTGTCAAATGATAGCTCAACCACACCAAGATGCAGCAAAAGGGAACTGTCTGATAGAGCAAGTGAAAAGAAGCAAGAAGTGAGTCTGCCTAAGCTTTTCTTACACTGCTTTTCACTATGCATGCAGTTTTTGCATGAACATGAAAAACAGAAGAGTAACACAGAATACCGAGTTTTGAAAGACATAATATTCCCTGAAAGAAAAGCCCTAAACTTGAAGACATTAGTACTTCCACATATTAGTTCCACTGAATATACCACAAGCAATAAAGTAGAACTACAGTTTTACAAAAAAGAGAAAATGGTATGCATAAAACATGGAGAGGATAAACCAGGTTCAGTTGTAATAAAAGCATGTGAACCCATCCCTCTACCTCACTTCAAACTGGATAAAGAGAACATTGATGAGCTTATCTCAAGTAATGTAAGACAAGAAAAACATAAATCACAGGAAGAGAAGAATGGCATAAAAGGGGTGGAGATGAAAGGAATAATAGACTCTAATATTACCTTAAAGACAGAGAACTCATCACTGTCTTATCCTTCCAGTAGAAAGAAATTAACCTTACCGTTTGACACTACAGAACAACAGGGTAAGGTACAAGAAGGGCTGAGTAAATCGGACATGAAACTGACGAAATCTTTTATTTCATTACCACCTATATTGCATCCTAATTTGAATTCAAAAATAAAAGTAGGAAAAGATAAATCAAGACTACTAGAGAGCTGCCTCCCACCTCTAAAGCCCCTGCTGTCATTGAAAGGCAGAAAAGTGCCATTTTCAAAGACATTTAGTACAGATAATTTATGCAAGTTAATAGAATCAAAGTATCTTCCACAGAAGAAAGAATATAGGAATAGTATACCAGATTTGAAAGATATAATAGGCCTCATATGTATTGCTCAAAAGAGAAAGAAGTCACCTTTTAAGTGCTTACTACGTCGAAAGGAACAATGGTGGAATAATAAAACACGAAAAATTATCCAGGGCAATAAAAATAATCTAAATGTGGTTCAGAATAAACCTTGGGATTCTGTTCCTTCTTCACCTTATCTGAAATGGGATCCTGAAATAATGGAGGCATACTTACAAGGAATAATGAAGTTCTGCCTTGGATCACCAGCACTGTCAGAATTATCATCTACAGTGGGACAGTATCAGGAGTCAACTGACGGTATTTCAAGCAGTACTGAAAAAGCGAAACACATACCATTGAAACACAGGTTGCAAATAGCTCCCAAGGAAGGGAGGCATTTCAGGGGACCCGTTCTGAGACAGGAACTGTTTTCTGCATCACAGGAGTTACAATTTAATGTTGAAAAAAAGGCAACAAAGATGCAGGAAGATAAACAAATTAAGAATTGGAACAAACCTTCCAAATATTCTCTTCCTTACTCTGAAGTGGTCCCAAGGATAAATGGAGAGGAAACTATGCAAATAAGAACCCGATTTTCTATTCATCACCCAAAGCTCCAAAGACCATCAGATATAGAAGAAATCATTTATGCAAAGTCTAACTTTGAACCTTCCTTGAACAGTGTAAAACATGCCACTAAATATGCATTCCAGAAAGAAGCGGAGAGTACAAAAACAAAAAAAACTATGCAGTTGAAAGAAAAACCATCAGTTTCACAGACAATTCAGTTAGTCATTACAGAACCAGGGCAAGAGATACAAAAAATTAAAGATGAACTAAATGTGGTTGAAACCAGTACCAGCACATGGATACCTTCTCCTTGTTTAAAATCAGATACAAGGATAGAAAAGGCAGATAGTATAACTGAAGCAACACTACACTCTCTTCCAGAACTTCCCCTCCAGAAATCATCAGCTACACTGAGTGAAGTAAGTAAAGAGTGGGCCAAAGGTCATAGCACTACTGACACACAGAGAGGAGAAGACCATATGCCACAGAAAACAGAACATAAAGTAAAAATATTGGGTGAGAAAGTCACAATGCATACAAAAGATAAGGACTGCAAAGGAAATAAAATATTCTCCCAGGATTTACTATCAAGTCCTAAAGAGCAAGGGAAAATAGATCCACAAAATGAAGAACAAGAAAGAGTGGATGGAAAGGACAAAAAACAACAGAATTGTAATAATGATGGCAAAGACCAAAAGAAAATGGATCTAAACTACAAAAAAACAGGGAAATGCAGTCAAGATGATAAAGAACAAAAGAAAATGGATCTAGAGGGTAAAGAGCAGGGAGAAGCAGGTGGAGATGGTCAAGAACAAGAGGAAGATTGTCCAGAAGATGGAGAGCAAGAGACATGGAATCATAAATGTGACACTCAAGGGAAAATGAACCCCAACAGTATAGAGCCAAGGAAAGCAGGCCAAGAAGGGAAAAGCAAAGAGAAAGTAGCTCCCGAGTATCTTCCTTCTAAGTCTTCTCATAAACTAGACATTGGAACAGCAGGAGAAGAAAACATGCAAGGAACCATAAAATCAGCTAACTCACAACTACAGCACCAGAAATTACTTGAAACAGGAAAAACTGAATATACAGAGTCAACTGAGGATGATGGTAAGTCAAACATAAAAATTGGGAAACAATGTGAATCACAGACATGGATGGATAGAGGGAAAAATGTGCATACGAAAGATGTAATGCACTCCAAAGACAAAAGTTCCAATAAAAATCAGTTACCGCTTTCACATATACCCAGTATCACTGGGCATTATGGCCCAAACACAACAGATGAAGAGACAAATGTAAATGAAAACTTGGGACATGTGCAGGAAAGAAAATGCAAACTAGGGACTTCGGCTTCTTTACCTCACAGTAAGTTAGATATAGAAATAAAAGCCAAGGAAGAAACATGGATAGAAACAAGATCCTTTTCTCTACACTTACAAAGCATGGAATCTTCAGATGCAGAAAAATTAAATTATATAGCATCTTCTTTGAATGATATAAGTGATTCAAAAAGATCAAGATACATGTCATATAAAGAAGAGAATGGAGTGAATACTTTTGAGAGAAGCATGATGCATTCCAAGACCAAACATGTGAACATAAATAAGTCACCCCTTTCATATGTACCCAAAATAAAGAGACTTAAAGTGAATCTTGAAAAGCAAATTAAAAATAAGCAAGAAAGCAGAAAGGAAAAAGTCATGCTCCCAAGCGAAACTCATTCTGTCATCACTTCTTCAGATGCCTCTAAATTAGACCAAGCAGAGGAAGTTGAAACAGATCTAATGCAAAGCCATGTGCCATACCCTATGCCACAAGAATCACTGCCTGTCAGGCAAGTAGCATCTACAAAAGCCATTGCAAGGAAAAGAAAACTGCATCTACCATGGGAAGAAGAGGAAGTACAAACCTCAGCCATTGATGACTTGACACACCCCAATGACTCAATTTTCAAGACAGAGAAAACTGCACCCTATCTTGTGTCCAGTGTCAATGAACACAGTACCCTGAGTAAGAAAAAGACTCGTAAGTGGAGTAGTAATAAAAAAACTGGACAGAAACAGGAAAGAGCAAGACACCCTAATGTGATTGTAACAAAAAGTGGTACTTCTGTATCATCGCCTGTAGGGCAAGTAGCACCTGCAAAGCAAATTGCTGAATGTGCAAAAAAGAGGAAACAATATCAAGCACAGGAAGAAGTCAAAACCTCAGCCATAGATGGTTTGACACAATCTAGTGGCCTAGTTTTAAAGGTATCTGCACCTCCTCATGTGTTAAGTGTCAGTGAGAACAGTATTCCCAGGAAGAGGAAGACTCCCTGGAGGAGCAGCAAAGAAAAGATAGGACAGAAACAGGAAAAAACCAGAGAGTCTAATGTTTTTGCAACAAAGAATGATACTTCTGTTCCTCATCATGGATTGTCTCCTCTACAGGATGAGTTTCTTATGACATCATGTACAGGTGAACTCGCACGTGTAGGTTCAAATGAAGGCATTACCCTACCTAATGTGATAATTAAAGCCAACCAACAAGAGTTATACACTGAGGCAAAGGTCAGCATAAGAGATAAAGACACCAAAGATACAATAACTTTGAGAGCAAGAATATCCCCACCTGCACATTTGAATGACAGAACACCACCTGTTAATAGTAAAGAGCAAAGGAAAGAAGCTGAGCAAAGCAAAAGTGAACTAATGATGGTGGTTCCAAAGGGAACTGCTTACTTGCCTTCTCCATCTTTCCTGAAGTCAGACACTAGAGTGAGTGAAGAGGAAGATGTACTAGGAGAAACACAAATTTCTTTTCTACCACCAAAGATCCAAGATGTATCAGACTCAGAGAAAATAGCATGCATGGAGTCAACAGGTTATGTGTTAAACAATAAAAAAGAACCAACACAGGAAGAAAAAAAGAAAAGACCCAGAAAAGACGTGACAGACAAAAAGATCCCCAAATCAGTGGATAAAAAGGGAAAGAAATTACCACGATCACATACACTCAGTATCAAAGAGTTTCAGAGGAAAATTCAGGAAGAAAAACTTGTAAATACAATTGTAAAATTTTCCATCTCACAATTGCAACTCGAGAAATTTTCAGGTGCACAGATGGCTGATAGGGAAGTTTACAATGAGATAAAATTACTGAAAGAACATGTACCAGGGAAAGAAAAGCATATGGGTGTCAACAGTGTAATGCATGCCAAGGATATATATTTGAAGACAAAGAAATCACCTGCTTTACCTATGCAGAATTTGAGTGACCTTCAGTGGAAAACCAGAGAGCAAGGGGGAAAGGTTGAAGAAGATGGAAGTAAGCCAGGAGTAACATTAACTAAGAAGTTGAGTAAGACGTCCACTGCAATGTCTCACGAACCTATCCTTACTCCGAATACTGGAATCAAGGAAGAATGTACATCAATGTTAACAAGATCCTCTGTTTCCATGGGATACTTGCAGAAATCATCAGATTCTGAAGGAGGCATTTACATACAGCAAATTACTGGAGATATTGCAATCAGTCTACAAAATGAAAAACAACATATGTCAGAGGGAAAGGAAGAAGCTGGAATGCAAATAGCAAAGATCGTAACAACTCACAACTATCAAGAAACAAAGGTGCAGGGACTTGAAGATGAACAAGGCTTAGTTCTGACTAAATCCTTTCCTTTGTTACCAGATCTGCCTCATCCAAAATTGCATGAGAAAATAGAATTCAATGACACAAAACTTAGAAATTCTACTTTGCAGAGACTACCAGCTAAAGGAGAAACAGTACCTAGAGAGGCCATTGTTGGTGATACCATGAAAGATGTTAAAAAAGAACATAGACCTCAGAGAGAAGAGACATATAGAAAAGAAATAATAGACAGGCGAGGCACAGATATAACTTTGAAATCACAGAAATCACTTCTGTCCCAGAAGCTTCACAGAACAGAACTACAGATGCATATTAATACATCCAAATCAAAGGGACAAAACAATGAAAGTGAACCTCGAGTCTTAAGGAAAATCTATACTTCTAAACCCTCTCCAACCGTTATCTTGTGTAAAGGTGTGAAAGTAGATGAAGAACACCTAGAAAGTAAACTATCTTCACCACTCCAACAAATGTTTCCAGCATTATCAGATACAGAGGAAATGGCAGACAAAGAGGCCATGTGTGATCATGTCAGAAAAGAAAAACAATATACAAAACAGATAGAAAAAACAGTAGACTTGACAACTGGGGTGCATTGCAAAAGGACAAAGGTCTTACCAATTTCACATCTCCTTAATACAAAGGAATTTGTCCTGAATATGAAGGTTCTGGAGAAAAAAGTACACAAAGGTAAAAGTGAGCTGGCTGTGGTTGCAACACGGTCTTTCCTGTCCATGCCATCACTGCCATGTAGGTATTCACAGGACAAAACACAGAAAGGCACAGGAAGAGTTACAGCACACTCTTACCCACAGGGAAATTTCCAAGAACCAGAAGATGCCCAGGAAACAGCAACCAGAAAGTCAGCTGAGGCGACAGAACATAATATGCTACAGAAACAAGCCAGGCCACAGAAGTCTGTGACCAGTGCTCATCGAATAGGTGAGCATCCACAAGTTGAATCAGAGTGTGAGTCAGTCTCCCCAGATCATAAAATTGATCTCACAAGATTAGGTACTATTAAAAGGGAAAAAATGCTGGACATGTTCTTCAAAGGGCAAAAGGGTCAGCCAGAAAAGTGTGAAAAAGAATCTTCAACTGAAATTGGAAATTGGAAGAAGGAAAATGAAATCAAAGATAATTTAAGACACAAAACAAGTTCTAAGTTTCCAGTTTCTCCACTAAAGAAATCACTCAGGGAAGTACTGATTAAAAATAACACCCTTCTAGCAAAAGGATCTGAAACAGAGAGAGAACAGGAAACCGGTTCAGGTAAATCTGATAAGCCAAAGAGAGATAAACAGAGTAATGCCACCATAAGCAACATATTAACTCCAGAAAAGACATCACTTGAAAAACCAAGGATTGCCCATTTGAATAAGTCTCAAAATAGGGAAGACCAAAATGTTAACATGAAAGAACAAACCACACCTCAGTCCAAGAGTGGACACCAGATAAAGCCAAAGTCTTTTCCTCTTCTCAATGTTCCAGTTCACAGCAAAAGTCAGAGGATGCCTTCACAAACAGATGTGGATGAGAAAACTGCAGTGACAGTCAGCCCACAAATACAGTTAGGGGTACACATGAGTACTGCAGAGTTTAATGCCACAAGAAGTAAAGATGATCCACCATCAATTGTTCTGGAACAAGAACAGTATGATCTGGCGTTGCCTCAGAAGTCCCATGATTCTCTACTGAAATCTGAACACCTGGAAGACAGGGATGAAATGAACATAATCTCAGATGTAAATCTGAAGCAAAAAAATCTAGAAATTGACAGCAACTGTACTGTGAGTCAGAGAGAAGGAAAGTTAAAAACAGATAGAAGCAGAGGCATAGACCTAGAAGAGGTCAATAGAGAAATGCAGAAGAGCTGTAGTGTCAATCTGGAGAATAAAGCCAGGGAGAATACCAGCAGTACTACAAACTATGCTCTTCCTTTAGGAACAGAGGAATCTGAGATCAAGACTGGGTTAGTCACTCCCAGAGAGAACAACTACCCATCCCAGAAAAAGCTTAAAAAGGAACTAGAGTTATCTACTGCAAAGCAAAACCTTCAAGGACTAAAATTGCTTCAAACAAACATTTTCGATTCATTGTATCCCTCTATTCCTATTTGTCCTAAAAGCCAAAACAGCCGATTCACAGTAACAAATCTGAAAAGAGAACTGAAACCCAAATATTTAACTCTGAGAATTCCAAAGCACCCAATTTCAAAGATACTTGGTATCATAGGATGTGGTAGTCCAAGCAGTAGGAGGAAATTAGAATATGCCTTCAATAAACCAAAAACCATGATTCCAAGTAGTAAAGATGTCTCAGGGATCATTATCAGAAGTCTTTGTGTTTCCATGGTAAGTCCACCTCACACTGAAGGAACAGTAGAATCCACAACAAATCCAAGAAGGGAAAAGAGAGTCTGTCATACTAAATTCCAGGAGAAATTACCAGATGCTAGAGATATTAAGGACATCTTGACAATTGTAAAAGGGTTGAATTTTACAATCCCATTGCTGCAGGATTCTCAGCCCTTTGTGGTCAGTGATCAAGAAACATGGAAACTTCCTGATATGGAGCCAGAAGTAAACCTTGAATGTGAAATGGAAAAGAATTTGTGTCTACAAACAAGAGAAGAGGTTGTTGCAGGGAGTGAGGACTTAAATATTACACATAAACCTGACATGAATACCACTGAGCAAGAGGAAATACAAAAAGACACCATAACACCCCAAGAATGCCCATTTGAAGATATAAAGGACACTATAGAAACTCATTTGAGAAGAACCCTGAGTATAAAATTTCCACCACCAGGGATACACCCAATACCTGGGACCCCACTATTTGATAAAATGAGAGAATGTTTCTTGCTTTCCAAGCAAGGAGAAGCTGCTCCAGGAACTGTGCCCACAGCTCTTCAAGATAAAAACAACAAAAACAAAACACTCGTAGAACGTTTGTTTCCCGTTTATGAAACACTTAAAAGTATCTTTGAAGCCCCTCTTGAAAATAAGATTCAAAATCAAATTCTTCCTGACAAACTGGGGGAAGTAGGAGCCTACAAGCCTGATGATGCAAAGGCATCTCCTTTGCCAGATAGTCCAGACACATCATCAAAAGTATCTACCATATTGCTTCGCAGACCTCTTTTAAAACAGTTTACTCCTGAATTAAAAAATAAGCTAAGTATGCATTTGGTTTCTAAAGCAACTGAAATAAAACTGAATCAGTTACCAGAGATGGTGAACATATCCTTACAGAAGTGTAACTCTCACCCCCAAAGGGCTACTTCAGAAGATTACAAATGCAGGCTTTATCTAAAACACAAAAAAATGAATTTTAGGTCTCCAAAAGCTGGTACTATAAAAGCTAACTTAAAAAACAATTACAGAAGAGTTTTTCCTCCTCTCAGCTGTGTAAAGGCACCAACAATGAATGTTTCAAGTAGCAGCAAGGTCATGACAGAAGCAAAGGGCATCAAAAAGCAAGAAAGTGTAACATCACTAGAAACTCAGAGTAATCTCCCATTGAGTAACATTCTCCACAAGTTCTCAGAGAAAGAAAACGACGACCTTCTTGTGCACTTTTGTACAAAAACACTGGAGATACAAACAATGGGCCTTCCCAGAATTGTGGTACAATCTTATGCAATGGCCAATGCCCAGGATAAATCAAAACGCTTATTTAAGTGTATCCATTCCACCACCAACAGACCACAACAAACAAACAGAGTTTTAGTACTTTTCGATAAAAAATCTTTCTGTGAAATCGACCGTGATTTGCAATACAAATACCTCTACTCGATCCCTAGACCTTCTGTCCCTGTGGTCTCTAAGCCAAAGGTACTTTCCAAACATACTTCAAAGTTAAGTATGGGTTTAGGCTCAGTATGTAAAACAGTAGAAGATAGTGAGAAAAGTAATACTCTTTCATTTGACAAAGATCTTTTACAACATATTTCTTTCCGAAAGAAAAATCCACAAGAAAGCTCATTACTCACCAGAAAATTCCAGGAGCCAACCAAGGTACCTGCCTTTTACCCTGGTCTACAAGGCACAAAACAGAATGACATGATAGTTCTTTCGGATTTAAAATTACAGATGACACCAGAAAAGGATAATCAATGTCACGTATGGTTTCAAGAAAGCAATTCATACAAGCATTCTGTTTCAGGAACTCAGCAAAATACTGTTGATTTAGCCGATTCACATTCATCTTTGATTTCTGATGGCTGGAACAATGATGTCCCCTTAAATACTGAGACTTCAACTGACTTGGCAGAATATCCAGCTCATGAAGAAACTGACAGTGAGGAGTGTGTATTTATAGAAACCAATTTTTACTTAACTCAAGATTCACAGAAGTTTCTGTTTGAGGTACCTAAAGGCATTCCATTGGCAGATGTTCACAAAGCGGAAGAAGCAACCTTTTTGAAACCATTTTACCATAAAGATCCAAATGACCATCATACTATAACCCTTAGAAAACACACCTCCCCTGTGGCACAACCTTTCCATCAGTCTCGAAATAGTAGGAAACATAGGTCAGACTCCAAAATGCAGTCCCCTGACTGGTTGTCTCACGATTTGTCCAATACTGTGGAAATAGAGTCTACATCATCTTCCATAACATTCAATAAAGAGAAGCACTGGACCACAACCACATGGAGCAGAACAAGCTACTCTTTAACCTCCTCAACAACTGAATCCAATATTAAATTGAATCTTGCAAAAAAACACAGCAAGTCTTATATGTACCCACAAGTCAAAGAAAGAAGGAAGACTAAATCTTATTTATGGAGAAAGTCCAATATCGATCAGAGTTCAAATTATAGTCACTCACACAATGAAGAGAAACACCTAAGGAAGAAAAGACTATATCATTACAAATCAAAAGAATCAAATCCACAAGCCAATCAGATGACAGAGTCAAATGCTCATTGGCAGAATATCAAATTCTATTCAGAAAGAAGAGAAAATCAGCCTTTTTTTTATGCCTGTATACCAGCAGATTCAATGGAAGTTATCCCCCAAACCATACGCTGGGTTATCCCCCAAAAAATCTTACAGAAAAGAAACTTCCAAGTTCCTCGAGTGGCAAATATTTCAAAATCTTGGAATCTATGTAGTTCATCCAAAAAGCTGTTGGGATCACTTGCAGGGGCCTTTAATACAGTCCATTATGGTTGATATCAACTTCATGTGGATTCTTCTGAATTGGAACTCTGTTTGCTACTGTGATGTTCAATGAAAATAAAATAGTAGAACGTCATATTCCCTTGAGATGTGTTTACTCAGCTTGTCTGCTTTATGTATTGGTAGATTCGGGCAGTTGTTCTTGGAGGGTGGGGGCAGGGCATGGCTCTGTTCCATCCTACCAGGTAAGAGCTCTCCCTTCAGTTGATTTTGATGGAGAGGTCCACAGACCAGAAGCCTTTTCCCCAGCTTACCCTTATAGGTGAGTGGGAGGAACATTCAGTTGTAGAAAAGATGGAGAATAGGTAGCTGAGATGGAAAGGAGATAAAGAGGGGCTCTTTGAGATAGCACTAAGAAGTCCACTGTAGCATGAATCTTAAAGGTACCTACTAATAAAAACAAACCCAAGGCCAGTTATTGGGGTGAACGCTGGAAGTCAGAGAAGCAGAATAAGCCACAGCTTCCTCACCTCATCAATTCCTCAGCTGATCCTGTTTCCTCAGACTGGAAGCCTCTGAGTTCTGATCCAGAATGAATATCAGCTGAACTGCTGCTAGAAGCCTAAAAGCTTAACCAGCATCTAGTTCCTCATCCTCATGCCTTAAATACCTTTCTGCTTTCTGCCGTTACTTCCTGGGATTAAAGGCATGAGTCACCATGCCTAGCTGTTTCCAGTGTGGCCTTGAACTCACAGAGATCCAGGCGGATCTCTGCCTCTGGAATGCTAGGATTAAAGGTGTGTGTGCCACTATTTTCTGGCCTCTATATCTAGTGGCTGTTCTGTTCTCTGACCCCAGATAAGTTTATTGGGGTGCACAATATTTTGGGGAACACAATACCACCACAGTCTACACTGTCAAACAGCACAAAACCCACAGCAATTATAGAGTTCTGCCCATTGAGTTTGATAGTTAAACTGAATACCTTAATACTTTTCATAATAGAGAACTCTGAACACTCAAACACAAAGACCAGTGCCCATTAACTATATATTCCAGACCAACAGCCTTTGATGGAAACTACCTCATCCATATCTCATCCACTCCTCTGCCATTAGAATTTTGGAACAAATCCTAGATACATCATTTGATTCACAAATATTTTTATTATGTATCTGCATAAGGGCTTTTAAGATGACCACAATGTCACTGTCACATCTAAAAATAACAGAACCTGTTTCTTAAAATCAGATTACAGTAGTGACACATTTAAAATAAAATGTATGTTTCAAAAGACTGCCTGTCACTTTTGGTGATACAAATTAGAGCTGTAATCTTGAGTTTGATTTCTAGTCATAAATGATAGGGGAGAAAAAACTGAGTGCTTAGGTGTGTTGTGCTGGCTGTTCTTGGCTGTCACCTTGACTACATTTGGAACTAACTAAAACCCAAGTGGCTGGGTACAATTATGAGGTGTTTTTCCCCCCTTAATTAAACCACTAGAAATCTGAAGCCTCGCTTTTAATCTGGATCTTTTGAGGTGGGAAGACACACCTTTAATCTGAGCAGCCTATATAAAGGACTTGGAAGAAGGAAGCTTGCTCCCTTTGGCTGCTTACTCTTACCCTTGCTGGTAAGTTCATTCCTTTACTGACATTAGAGCCTAACATCTTGGGGACTCCAGTGTATACTGAAGACCAGCTGAGAAATCTAGTCTTACAGACCGCGAAACTACCAGATTCTTCTGTTGGTAGGCAGCCATTGTTGAACTAGCTGGACCATGCCCTGTAAGCTACTCTAATAAATCCCCTATCTAAATAAAGATAGATAGATGATAGATAGATAGATAGATAGATAGATAGATAGATAGATAGATAGATAGATGATAGATAGATAAATCCATTCTAACAGTTCTGTTCCTCTAGAGAACCCTTACCAGTACATGCATGATGCAGAGTCAAAAATATTACAAAAATAAATTAAAAGAATATATTTAGGGGTTGGGGATTTAGCTCAGTGGTAGAGTGCTTGCCTAGCAAGCGCAAGGCCTTGGGTTCAGTCCTCAGCTCTGAAAAAAAAAAAAAAGAATACATTTAGTCAGAGAAAAAAATTACATTCTAATTTTTATAAAGCTGATTGAAGAAAAAGTTCATAAGAATATCATCTTAGTTACCTGCTCATTGTATTTTTTTCCTATAGTTTTTGATGGTTAGTTTTAACCCTGACACAATCTAGAATCGCTGGGAGGGGGGGCCAAAAATCTCAGTGGGAAATTTTCTAGATAAAGTTAGCTCGTGGGATTGTCTTGATCACATTAGTTGATGTGGGAAAACCCAGCCCACTGTGGGTGGCAACATTCCCTAGGGGTAGGCCCTGGACTGAATAAAATGGGGAGAGTGAGCTGACACTGGCAATCATGCATGCATGTGTTCCTCATTTTTGACTGTGGATGTGATGTGACCAGATGCTTCAAATTTCAGCTACCTTGATTTACTGACAGTTCTTGACTATTACCTGGAACTGTGAAACAAACCCTTCTTCCTAATTCCTGTTGTCACCACAACAGCAAAGAAAACTAAGAGACCTCTATGCCATTAGTTACAGTAAAAATATGTTCTTCTGAGTGTAGTCTTATTAGAAGACAATACCCTTTTTTATTTCTTAGTTTGTGGTTTACACATTTAATGGGTGAAAGCCTCATCCACAGCCCACTTTCTAACACTGCAGCTTTCTCCATTGTTTATTCTTCATCACTCAAGTTCTCCCAGTTCCATGCACCACAGGAGGCTTTCACATTGTCACATAGATTCTGGCCTTGATGCTGGTATCACCACAGGGAGGTATTCATGATGGACAGATGTATCTCTGGAAGCTATTTCTACACCAGGATAGCATAACTGAACAGGAAGTGAATGTCAGTCACATAAATACATAGATAGCCCATTAATCACAGAGAGAATGCATTCTAACTCAATTAATTCTAACCCCTTCTAATTCCAATCCCAGAAATGTTTGAAGCCTCTACAGTCTCACTGGATGTGAAGGTAGATTTGAAGGATAGGTCAGAGAGGAAATAAATAATACTTTGAACTACACTGAAAATATATTATAAATCTTCAGGGCCCCAAAGCTCAAACTTCTTTAGCATATGTAGTATATATACTATAAATATGCTTATGTGATATAAATACATGTCATATATAAATATATAATAAAATAACATCAGTTTATCAATTTCCTTATCTTTTTTTTTTTTTTTTTGGTTTTTCGAGACAGGGTTTCTCTTGTGTAGCTTTGCGCCTTTCCTGGAACTCACTTGGTAGCCCAGGCTGGCCTCGAACTCACAGAGATCCGCCTGCTTCTGCCTCCCGAGTGCTGGGATTAAAGGCGTGCGCCACCACCGCCCAGCCTCAATTTCCTTATCTTAGCAACAAATATTTAGGTTTCCCATGGACTAGACCTCATCCTGAATAATGAACCTAATAAAAATTAGTAAATATAATCTCAAGTTAGAAAATTCACAGTGAAGTACAATCTTGAATTAGGAAACTCAGTGTCAGGTTGAAGAAAAAAAATAAATGTCCTGAGCTTCTCTCTCTCTCTCTCTCTCTCTCTCTCTCTCTCTCTCTCTCTCTCTCCTCTCTCTCTCCTCTCTCCTCTCCCCCCCTCTCTCTCTCACACACACAAATGCACTCAAAAATTCATTCCTAGTAGCAGATATAAATAACATCTACCTCTTCCTCTTAAGGCAAGAATGACAATCCAAAATATGATTTCACCACAATCCACCCAGGAGAACACAGGGCATGGATGAGAGGTTATGAGCATGGGGACTCCAAAGCAGCCACACTGGAGAATCGTCACCTATCATGGATGATGACTTCCCCATAGCCATATAGATGGAGACCCCTTCCCCAAGTCATACCTAAGTCTATGTACTATAACACCTTTCTGAGACTCTGAAGCCATATTTACTTAGAGTAAGATTTCATACAGATGTCTGAGAGGCACCCTCCTTCTGAAAGGGAATGAGAACAATACACGAATCTGCTGGGTTCTCAAAAGTAGGCACCACTGATCACATAAAGATGATGGCAGTTTGGCCAAGAAAATAATGCCTCACCACACACACACACACACACACACACACACACACACACACACACACACACAGACATGACACAGACATACATAAATCTAGCCTCATTTCAACATATGTATCTGGTATCTATGCTAAGCCCACAATTTTTTGGACTATCACATCTATATAGAATTACCCTTTTAAGGTGAATGGTTATAAAAAGATCCAAATCAAGTCTTCTGATGACTCATATGGCTTCTTTGACAAACACAAGACTCCAGATAGTTGGCTAGCACATACATGGCTCTTCTTTGCACATGTTAAAATAGTGACATATGTGGATGGTAAAGCTGCAGGCCATTTAAAGTGAAGATGTTCCAGTTTAAAGATACTTAGTGATCTTGGAGGGAGGGGGAAGAGTGTGGTTTTCAGAATGGATCCTCTGTTAATGTTAGCCTGAGGATTTCTATTGCTTACTGCATCCCCCAAAGCTCTCGATCTATTGCTTTGAAGAAATGGAGGAAGCAAGAGGAATCCATCCTTAGCTTTCCCCAGTGTTTTTAGTTGATGATGATTTAGAGAGTGATTCTCAACCTTCCTAATGCTGTGACCTTTTAATACAGTTCCTCATGTTGTGGTGACTCCAACCATAAAATTATTTTCATAGCTACTTCATAACCATAATTTTGCTACTGTTATAAATCATGACATTCACATATTAATCTGTGTTTTCCAATGGTCTTAGGTAACCCCTATGAAAAGGTCATTCAATTCCAAATGTGTCATGACCCACAGGTTGAGAACTGTTCTGATTTGCTTTTTTTTTTTTTTTTTTTTGAGCTGAGGACCGAATCCAGGGCCTTGTGCTTGCTAGGCAAGTGCTCTCCCACTGAGCTAAATCCCCAACCCCCTGTTCTGATTTAGAGTATGAACTTTTCTAGTTTTCTATTGGACTTCTAAGCCAAAATAAGTAATAATTTTACATTAAAGTAACCTCAGTCCAAATGAATTAATTAGAATCTACATCTTACGCTACTCAGTGTTTTCTGAAGAATAGATAGAAATA